TTCAAAAGTTTAGGCCACCTGATTGGTTGAGGAAGTAATGCGCACACACCTCAGATCAATTTGAAATAAATAAAAAAATATTTATTTTAAATATAAAACACACACACAAAAAAGAGGTCGTCTGTCCAACAGGTATGCAACAGGGCAATGATCACAGCATGCAAGCAAATCCTGACATTTAATTCGCTTGTTTTTGATGTTCATCCTCAGTTGTTGCATGTTTGTCTTCTCCGTCGCTAATCTCAACCTGTCTATTAGATTATCACAGCTGCATCTCTGTCACTAACTTCACTCCTGAATTTTCATGATGCCGGACAATTTCTTTGTGTCCATTTTCCCCCCAAGTGTCCTGAAAAACCTTCATTTACTGGGTAATCTCATTAACATCAGAGTTCAGATCCAACACTAATTATCACTGTAATTATACTTGTCCATCATTTTTGTGTGTATTATCACTCTGCAGTGTGATAACTGACTTTGCTTTGTCATAAGCGTCTTCTCACTGGTCATATTTGTCACTTATTGCAGGTGGAAAACCTGCCTGTTTTAACTATCTACAGCACGAATAATAAAATACATAATAAAATAAAAAAAATATAAAGAAACATATGCCTATGGTAACAATTATGACTCTTGCTTTTTGCCTTTCTGTAAAATAAAAGATATGCACTCTGGGATCTAGAAGAAGAAATAGAAAAAAAGACAAAACACAACTTAAAAAAAACCTTAAAACAATTTTGAAAAATACAATCTGCACTTGTGATTAGAGTTTGGTGTAACATACTCCATACGTACAGTCATCTATATCATATTTGTGTTTAAATAAACTTTAAATATTGATATATTTGCAAATTAATCTATAGCAAGGACAAGAAGAAAGACAAAAACCTACTTCTCCTGGAATGGTTGGTAATCAAGCTATGAAGGAAAAAAAACAAATATAACATGATGAATTTTTCTTTTATGTTTATACATAAACATACAATACAGTAATTTTGGAACGTGTTTCAATTACACTGAAGAAAACGTGATCAGCCTTACCGGTGTGACCTGGGTATCATCAAACTTATACCATCTGTCTTCATCCTGGGTTTTGATTGTTGCGCTGTAATGGCCACCTCTCAGACCACCAAAATGATCCACAACTGCATACAGTTCGTACACCTCATTCTGATCACAGAGGACAAAAAATAACAAAGTGAGAAAGAAAAATGAAGATGATTTTTGATCAAATATTAAAGTACACTTTGTAAATACCCCCGGTATTTGCAGGCTGTAGGGAACCTCCACAAAACAGCTGGTTTTGAAGTAGGACATGTAACTGTAGCTGAACTCAAACCTCTTCAGCAGCAGAATCAAAACATCTGGGTGATGTTTTATCACATCTGTCTGAGTGAAAAATATGGGTTTTTAATGTGTGTCATTTTGTTATAATTTTATTAAATCAATATCAATGTTCAGAAATCACAAAAAATGTTCTTATTTACAATAGTAGCATCAACTTTGTGACCGCAGCGGTCACAGTACATCTGGTGTTCTCCATTTAGACATCTAGGTCTGAAAAACTCCTCGATGCCGTCTACCTGAAAAATGAAAACTAATTCAGAAGCAGCTTTGATAAAGATGTGCCAAAGAGCTCAGTGTTCACAAAGATTTTCTCAAGAAGGGCATGTTAACATTAATAATTCATGACCTCTTTAAAAGACATAATATTGTCTTTTGAAGTGAGATATAAACAGTAAAAACAAACCAAAATTTCCAACATTCATGAACACATATCAGTGAACTCAGGACTTGGACTGTAGAGTTGATTAGATGTGTCAGAAAAAGAAAAAAAGGTATTGGACAGATCTGAAGACAGACTGAAAGAACTACAATTTCATTGGCAGTTTACCTCAGTGTGATTTAGATCCAGTATGTAAAATTTCACCTAATCTTGGTTAAGCTTCAACATTTTTTTGTAGTATTCAGACATGAACTCTCTAAGACCTCAGTAACACAGGTTCACATACTTGATAAGTGTTGGAAAGTGTGTATTCCCAGTTAGCGAGTGATTGCTGGCAGTCACTGGGTGAAACTGGTCACAAAGAAGCTGAACCAAAAAACTCCTTGCAATTCCTTTGGTTGCTAGTATTTTGCCATGGTAATCAAGTTTGGATGATAGCCATTAAAACCTTCAGCCACCACTCGCTAACGCATTTTCCACAAAACAAACAAAAATCACATCAAAAACTCAATTTTGTTTTTCTACAAAACATTGGAGTAGGTTTACCTTTTCTTATCATTTCGCACTAAAAGATACATTTGTTGCATTTTGTGACTTAGGATATTTACATGACTCATGAGACTGTAAGTCAACTGTGTTATGTTTGTTTTGTAATGCATTGAAAGTAATGAAAAATATATTTTTTAAAAAGAAACATTTTCAGAAATAATATTAATTAATATGTTTTGACACAGGCAGGATGTAAGGCATCATCTGATTTTTATGTGTCCTCAAAATAGATACATAGTTCCCAATCAAACAAAAGTATTTATTAAGGAAAATGATAGAATAACACAGATATGTTACTGGCAATATTATGTGAACTTGTTGCAGCTGTGAGTCCTGAAAACAGAAACATGCTGAGAAGTTTATGTACTTACTACGCTGTAGTCTTGATTGTAAAAATCCACCAATGACAGAGGAAGATGCCAAAATGGTGCATCCCTGTCAGTCTCTTTATGACCTTTAGAGCAGGTGATTTGGTTTGCTAACAGACCGTGGAAGATCTGAAAACATAAATGAACAAAAACATAATATTAAGTATTATTTTCAAACCAAACGATTCCATTTGATATTGACAAAGACCTTACCTGTGATGCCTCAGGACTGGTCATGGTTAAAATCTTCTCGATGCATTCAGCAGCATCTCGCTGTTCATACACTGGATGGAGAAATATATGTGCATGTCTTTAACAAACATATTCATTAATTAAAAAAATATATAACCCCATAATTATTCACTACAATCAAAAATGCCAATCATAAACCCTCAAAATGTTGTGTAAAGTGACAAAGTTTCTCAAAAACATGAAACATCAAAAACATTATTCAAAGGTTTTGTTGTCTGTGTGTTATCATACTGTACCTCTGTTGATGCCCAGCTGGGTTATTATTTTGTGTGTGTTTGCTGTATGTTTCTGTAAATTATCAAACAAGTCTGTAAGGGCACCAAGAAGCCCAATGCCAACATTTTGTTTGGAGGACCTAAACACAGACAAAGTCCCCATAAGTAATAAAAATGAACCATAGACCCCATTAAATGCACATATGTGACAATAAACCTTTTCACAGCTTCTCTGAAGTCTTCGGTCATAAACAGCACCTGCAGCACACTGTTCAGGTAACACGTCGCACCTTGGTTTACCAGCCCATGGTATTTAATATTAGCTTCTGTAAATTGCAGAATAAGAACATGAGTGTGCATCATAAACTGCCAGCACAGACAGAAGGTCGTCAGAAAATAGCTCGTTCCCTTTTGCGTCTTTTCTATAATCCATTGAAGCCAATGATTTGATCTACATTTGCTAACATATAATACCAAGAATAATTTAAAAAAAAAAATAGAATTAATTAAATCTTGAAACTCATTTTTTAACCCTGGCTTTTCATTCGAGTTCCGCTTAAGTACCATCAGATTTTTTTAAATGTTGTTTATGTTGTCACTACATAATGTATTTGCGTCTTCTCACGTTTCGTTTTACTGTATTTAGTTTCTATTGTTCATTAATTAACTTGTAATGCATTTTGGTTAACTTTGCTGTTGCTTGTAAATGTGCTATAGAAAACACTGACATTTACAAATTGACATTGACATTCCTTGTCAGGTACCTAGCAGGTTAAGAAAGGCACGTCCTTACAAATGGCGCAAGGTGTATAAATTCTCATCATATGTCAGTAAACTCTTAATAATAAAGCAGCTCAATTGAAGACGCTCTGAGTAAAGGACAGTTCCTCTTTCAACAGCGTTTCCAGGCTGAATTTAAAGACGTCTGAAGAGCGTAGGAAAAACTTTAGAGAACACACAGAAGACCAATTAACCAAAACTAAATAAAAAATAAAAATAAAAAAAGGCCTCGGGACTTCGAAATTCACTACAAATCTTACCCACTGAGGTAGAGATGAACTTGAAACCATGTCGACCAAATAAACGCATTTTCTGCCCCCTCTGACGATCTACAAAGAAATTGTTGTTGGAGGCAGAAACAAACGCGATTATTTTGAAAAGAAATCAAAGTAAGCCAAAGATGCAGGCCTGCCTTCAACACAGTTTTAAGACATTTCTTCAGATACTTGTTAATAAAATAGTTCATCCGCTATAGGAGCATTAGGCTATCTCAATCTCCCGTGCAGTTAAAAACACTCCGACTATCGCTTTCTCTTTCACTTCTGCCGGATCAGTGATGGGTTCAAGGCGTGTCGGAAATGTTAATTGTTAAAAATGCGCATTTCTGTCACTGTTTCCTATTCTACAGGTGCAAACTCAGCAGCTTTCTTTTTCTTCCCAAACTGTTCTGTTCTCAGTATTTCTGTTCCCAACAATAGCTGGCATCAGCTGTTGCACTAACCTGGAGGTTCATGACTACAGCAGGCTACACATCACCAACCTTTAAAAAATATTTATTGCACATGTTATATCTTAATTCAGATTCAGTTCAACTCAGTTTTTAATTTATATAATCACAACAACTGTCTTCAAGAAGCTTTATATTGCAAGGTAAAGACCATATAATAACACCAAAAACAGACAAAAACCCAACAATCTTAAGACAACCATAAGAACCATAAGACACAGACATTTAGTGTAATAGATTTATTTTATGCAATGTCAGAAACTGTATGTTTCACATATGAACATTACAAAGGATAACTGCAATTTAAAAAGCTTATACAAGGGTCTGGTGCTTTTCCTCATTCAGCTTTGCACTTTTTCATTTTCATACTGTTTCTCTCAGGCACTTAGCCCATCTTGTGAAAATCTTTTTGAGACTGTGAGGGCAATTAAAAACGTAGAAGTGCACTTTAGATGTTTTTATGCCAAAGAATCTGAGGCTGCCAGTGGTGAGATTTACAGGATTTGTATAGTAATGAGATTCCATTTCCTGTGGACACCGTAAACACCTTAAAGCAAAAGAAGTATCAGATATCATGAGGCATCAGAAGAAGCAGCAGTGACAATCACATGTTGAGATGGTGTCTGTCAGACTCTTGGTCTTACAGCAACTTTAATCACCATAAAAATGTCAGATATCTGCAGACCCCACAGTATCAAGAAAATCAAAGCGATACAAACCCGTCCATCTTTTGCCTCAGCTAAAGAAAGGTTACCAAAAATATTGATGGTTAAAAACTGTATTCAAAGACAAGTTGACCTCTAGAACTTTCTTTTTTAAGTAAGCTCATCCAAAGCTAGCCCAGTAGAGTCCATAAACGACAAGGAAGACAGAGAAACCAAAAGACGAAAGAACCCGAGTTACACATACACTTCATTCTTGTTTTCATGTTTTCCTCCACACAGGGATGGAGGTCTGCCTTGGCGCGACCCCACTGGGGCACATTCTGTATGGTGAACTGGAACATTCACGCTTTAGTTTCAGGCAGACAAAACAGAACTCCATTTTGCAGCGAGGACATTTGATATTTTTGCAGTGTTTTCTGTTATGCTCCACCCTCATGCCACATGTAGGACAGAGTCTGATGGCGGGGCAGCTGGTGACACCCTCCACCTCAGGCAGACTGATGGTTTTACATGTCTGCAGAAGTTGCAGGTCCTTGTTCTCACAGCCGTCGTTGTCGCAGCAGTCAGATCGAGGGCCTGAACCCTTCCATGGTTTCAGACACTGCCAGCAGAAGTAGAATTTCTTCTTTTGAACAGCTGTGCATACAACACACTTTACACACAGGTTAAACAGATCCATCCTCTCCACGCTTGTTTTGCACTGTGGGCACTGATGTGAAAATAAATGAAGGGACATTTTTAAGAGAAACCCAACCACAATATTAAAAAATATTGAGTCCACTGGATTTCACTGAAATCAAGAAGCTGTAAACAATAAAAAGGAAAAACAAATTAAAACATAAATAACTGGGTCACTTACTTCCTGAACCTCACAGTGGTCTGCAAGAGCCAGACGGGCCATGTTCTCTTCAAAGTGCTGCATTTCCTCCACAGTCAGATCAGCCAGTCTGCGCACCTCCTGGTACGACCACTCTTTATTACACTGCTTGGTTCCCTCCACTAAAGCCGGACATCTGAATTTGTAATTCCCCTTTTAAAAAATTACAATTAAAAAAAAAAGAAGTTAATTTAATTAATTTGAGTGCCTCCTGGGTGAGGTGTTCTGGGCATGTCCGGGGCCCGGGACAGACCCAGGACCTGGAGAGATTATATCTCTCGGCTAGCTTGGGAACGCCTTGGTGTTCCCCCGGACAAGCTAGAGGAGGTGGCCGGGGAGAGGGAGGTCTGGGCTTCTCTGCTTAGGCTGCTGCCCCCGCGACCCTTCCCCCGGATAAAGTGTAAGAAGATGGATGGATAATTAATTAGAATTTGTTGTTTTTAAAACTTCTACTTTTATTTTTAATGCATCTTTATACCATCATTCTTTTACGTTTTTATATAGTTGTTAAATCTGCAACATGTTTAGCTACACATATAAACACTAAACCAAAACATTTCTGCAGATTACCTATTGGCACCCAATCATGTGATAACTTAAACAAAATCAGTGTATTTTATAAGTTCAATAATTTTACCTCTTTTTGCTACAAACACATAAAGCTGTTAAAATCAATCTGAAATGATTTTACCAAAAACTCCAAAGACTAAATTTTAGATGGAATTATATAATAACTATAATAACAGACTGGTATTTGTATCTGTATTTGTATTTGTATTCGATTCGATTAAAATTCAAAATAGCCGTAAAAATCCAGTTTTTTTGCGTTACACTTCTAATTAATGTTAGAGTGTAATTATTCTTTAATTATATCCATTATAATAATTATGGATATGCAATATTAGTTGATGGTTTTCCATAAATCCAGCAATGAACATGTAACAAGGAACCTCATTGAAAAGAAAATAACATCCATTGCCTCATTCATGGTTAAAACGAACAACTAATAAAATACCACTGTGAACATCATGAACCCTACCACCACCCGTCCTTGTTGGAGGACGCTGAACAGACAGTGAAACTGGCTTGCAGGGACAGAACATGGCTGTGATGATGAATTGGTGCTTGTGTGGGGATTGGCAGACAGTACCAGCAATAAGATGCTTTAAGTGTATGTGATTATGCATAACAGATGTTGACAGATGTTTGATATCGCTGCCTCTGCTGATTTAACTTTTGCACACATTACATATCAGTTTGGTTTCATCTCCAGCACTGACTGTAAAATGCTTCCACACAGAACTTGAGCAAGTTTTTTGGCTGGTGGAGGACCAAGAGATGGCTCAGCAGCAGCCACACTCTTTTCTATTGAGTTGACCTAATCCATGTGGGGAGTTTCAGCTACGTTAATAAGGACAACGGGAAGCTCTGCTAAGGTTAACTGGCCTATAGCCTACATCTTTCTGTCTGCAAAAGACGAGTAACTTAAATGTACCAACTCCCACAAGTGCATACAATTCAACACAACTACACAAGCATGTCAACAGCCTATTGTCTAAATTACCGAGGGTACAAAAATTCAATTCAACAAAAATAGTGATGCAGTTCAGTCTTTTATCGCTCAGCTGAGTCTTCTCTGTTGCTGTGTGGAGCAGCCTGTGTCAGTCACCTTTCACACGTCACTCATTCATCCGGTCATGCACTGCAGTCTCATAAGGAAACTCAGCTTTTTAATATAAAGTTTTTCTTGTTCCCGAATACAAATATTTTTTAAAGTATTTGTTCGAAATAAGTATTCATAAAAAACACGATATTTGTTCCTTTCCCAATACGTATTCCGGTTCGGCTCCACCCCATCACATACACTATCTGCTGCAAAGACATGACACACCTGATCCAGCAGGGTACGACACCATCGTGTCAGAGATTCAGGAGTGACAGCGTGGCCACAGGACATCTCTGCTCTGAGAGAGTCATCACCTGAGGAAGAAGTGGACAATAACAGATGTATCAGTTACACTACATATACTGGATTGCACCAAAATATAATAAACTCCGTGGTTCATGAAAAATTTAAAAAAGGAATAGGAGAAGTTTTATAATGTGTGGTAATGACTGTCAGAAAAAAATATTTGTAGCAGTTTTTGTGGGGCAACATGGTGGTGAAAAAGAAAAAAAACTTACACAGTGGATTCAGATCATCTGGCCTGTTGACGAACTTTAGGGTAGAATCTAGTGGATCGTATCGCTTCTCCACCTGCTCCGGTCCTGGAGCGCTCATTTGGGTTCTACGGAAAGAAAATCTGACACTACGAATACTGTCTGGTTTAGTCTTATGTTTAGTTTAGTTAGTTTAGTTTAGTCTAGTATATGGATTTCAAATCGCATCTGCCGTTATCACCTGTCACAAGAACCATGTCTTTTCCAGACTCGATACAATAAAAACGTTAAAAGGTATTAAAGATGTATTTAAAGTACATATGAGCCATTACATTTCTTTCTCACAATCGCTCTTCTAGTTCATGTTAAAGCTGTATGATGGGCTGAGTTTAAGGCCACACCAAACTCATTCAGCCACGCCTTTATGGAGCTTGCATTCTGCACTGGAATGTGCATGTACGAACATGTATTCATTTATGATCGCGGGCTGAATAATGTTGACTCATGTTAGAAAATGTCAGTTTTCATTGTTACACAAAGCTGCTACAAAATGTGTAAAAGGACGAAGGGGTCTGAAGCGACTGCATGCTCACAGTGTTGTGTGAGCTATGATGAGCCGTTTAAACAACATCCAGGGAATTTCCAGTTGGATGGAACTGAAAGCACCAAGTGCACGAAGTGCTTTCAGTTTTGATTGCCTATTATTTTTAAATTGAAAACACCTTTAAGAACAGTGATCACTCTATTAACAATGACATACATAACCATATTAGGACTACCTTATGTCACAGATTCTATAAGATGACACAGATTTAATTAGCAAAGGAGCAAAGACTGCAAATATCAAGAGTAGGTTTAAAAAGTGAAAGTAACATCTTACCCTGTTGGCACAGCTTGTGTCGCTTTAGTTTCTGGTACTTTCCTTCTTCTTTTACTTCCCAACTGGTATGGGAACAGCAACCTAAAAGTAAAAGGGATGAAATTAGTAAGTTATTGCTTAAACCTGTGGACAAAATGTGAACCATCACAGAAAATCTAACTAAGCTTCCTAAACGCACAGAAATATAGAGAAACATATATAGTGACAACTTATTATCATCACATAGACACAATTTATTTTTATTTTATTTTATTCTACCTCAGGGAAACCTATCATCAGTGGCCATTATATATTATATATGTGTCTGTACCGAAGGAGTTACGAATTAAAAAATAAAATATACACCACTTAAAAACAAAGAGTGAGCTCACGTACCCGTTTAAATAAAGCTTCAATAAAGCTTCACACATGACTGCGACTGTACTTGGAGACCTAAAGGATGAAGAAGAACAGCAGACAGCATGCATGCAGTTTAATTTTAGCATGTTACAATAAAGTGCTGTACTCGACAGAAACAGTTTACACTACAAACAAACAAACAAAAAAATCATAACACAAGTCTTATGAGTATATAAAGCAAGATTTGAATAACTAACTGGTGTGCAAACAGGGACACTAACGCGTACTCACCGCTCCTCAGCAGGACCGCTAAGCGACGACTGTACTAACCTCGAGGAAGTGACATGACAGGAAGTCAGTCATCGCGCAGAGGAAATTTTTTTCTTTCTTTTCTTTTTTTTTTTAAATCACGCAGAGAAAAATAAAAGCTCCGAAATATAGAAATTAAATGCACACACACACACACACACACACACATAGCGAGACAGAGAGAATAAGAGAGAGAGTTTCTACTTTTTCTGCGTTAACAATTCACTTCACTGATATAAATAATTAAATAAATCTACAGCAAACATCCGCTTAAATGCTGCTTATCGATAAATGAATCAACAAATACAACAGCATAATGCATAATGTAGTTCACTCTTCTATGGATGCTCCGTCAATGCTTACTTTTAATTCATTATCATACTCTTCTGCGAGCAAGAAATCTTAGTCTTCATCCTCTACAGCAGTGGTTCCCAAACTTTAGTAAACAATTAAGCAAATACAAGTAATCTGCAATAAATTACAGGTAGTAAGAAAATAAACTACTAACTCTTTTACTCTACGTCCACACCTACACAGGTATTTTTGAAAACGCAGCTGTTTCATCCACACGTAAACGGTGTTTTGAATCACCGAAAACTGAGATTTTTTTAAAACTCCTTTTTTGCATTTATGTGTGGACGAGGAATGCAGAGTTGGTCAGGCAATGTCAAAGGTATGTGCCTTTTTCACGCCACGCTGTGCGCCACGTTATTGTTTACATGAGATGAATTGCAGAAATGCAGATATACTGTTAATCTGACTGTCTGCAGTTTTACACGCTTACATATACACACGCAGTTAATGTGTCACGGTGTGATTATTTTACATGTAGTTGTTTTTCTCCTGTGTAATAATATTCAACATTGCTATCAATACATTTTTTAAAAAATGCCTCTCTGTGCAAAATAGGTTTAAAAACATAAACAACTGTGGGATACTGTTAGTCCGTGATTTAGACAGCCCAGCGCTGCTCCCGACGAAGGGAAAAACCAATCCTGCAGGGGAGACCTACCTCGGCACTTGTGCAGGTGAAACCAAAGGGAAGATATGCTTCACCATATTTTCTAGTCTTTGGCTTAGAATGAAGTTGGTTTGGAAACATATTCAGCGATGCTTCATCTCCTGCTTTGCCTTTGTGTGGGCGCCCCTGCTAGCAGTGTCCAAGCCTTTTGTTTTTTTTCCCCCCTAGGGGGCGGGCCCCACACTTTGGAAAGGTCTGCTCTACAGCAAATTACAAGTACCCGGCTGGGATAATAAGCTGGCCAAAGGAGGAGATAGAAGCTTCATACTGTATGACTTAGCCTTTATCGGCATCCCTTTCCTCCTGTTTGAAGGTGCAACACCAAAATAAATGGGAGTAAGTCTCTGGGAAGATCTCTCAAAAAGAGCAAAATATATCTGATTTATTCACAAATTTTTAAAGTTTGAAGTCTCTTTGTTTGTTTATTATGAAGGTAAAAACTTTGAATTAATTTAAATAAAACCTAATTGACAGAAGTTTTTTGTAGCAAAGAATCAAATCCATCAATAATGAAATTGATAGATGAACACAGATCATCACCTCTTCAAAGAGTTACCTAATTTTGGCATTCATATTTCCATGGGAGGAGAAATGGGACCTAATGAAGATTCTTCAGGAGGAGACATAGACAAGGGTGATGAAGGGATGAGAAAGGATGAGAAAGGATGCCATCAGAATCATTGAAGATCTATTTTAGGTTTAGTGGGGTGTTGTATCTGTTTAGGAGCTCTTAGTAACTGTATAATAACTTACAAAGAGTTTCCCTTGCTGTTACAACAACAGGCCTCCATTACTTTACATCTGCCCTTATTACTGTACAAGTTCACTCATTCAGCCAACTAATACTGCCATCTTCTGGTGAAAAAGAATATCGCTCTACGATGACATCAGGTAAGATAAAATGGGCTTTGCATCAGTGACACAACATTGCCTTTGCAACAAAACTCAGAAAGAAATAGGGGGGATTACAGTCACAGTAAAACTCCTTCAGTGAAAACTCAGAAATTTATTTTATTGTTAAACTTAATATTAATAAACTTTTTATTAAGTTAAGTTATCAAGTTAATGAATTATTAAATTATTAAACTTAAACAATTTAGCAATTTACAATATGTAAACTAAACAGTTGGGCAGTGTTCTCTTCAAAGAAGAGAACTTTTATTTAAAAAATCTAAACTTATATTAAAATATTCAGGGCACCACAAGCCATTTACTCAGATTCATGCGTGAGCAGCATTTTATTGGTAAGTCTGGTTCATGTTGTTCAACCACTGGCCAAAATAATGGAGTCACCATGTAGAAGATATTCTTTCAGCTTCTTTACTTTGCAAATTAAACAAAGACATGAAACCAAATTGTTTTTGTTGAATAGCTAAATGGTCTGCCTTCAAATTTTTTACATTAATAATAATAATGAAAGCAGAGGGTAAAATATGAGACCATTAAAAAAAAATCACAATTGTGACTTTATTGTACATTCTCTGGCTTTTGTGTGCCCTTTATATGAACTGTACTAAACTTGGACTTCATCAGCAGCTGACATTTGACTTATTTCTGCTCAGGTACTTATAAACACAAGCACAGCTAAAGCAACACAGTGAGCAATGTTGCTTTTAACAATAATAGCTTTCGGTTAAAACAATGCATGAAAACAAAGTTCACTTTAAGAATTTGAAAATCTCTAAATAAAACTTTAAAAACCGTTTGGAAATAATCGCTCCTGCTGCAGCTGCAGTGGACAGGTTGCCAGTCTGAAGTAAAGGCATAAAAATAATTAATGGGACATCAGCATAATTCAAGACTTTGTGGAAACATTCATAAAGAAGTTAGAAACGCAGGAAGCGTTCTGCTCCAGCTTTCTGTTTAGGTTTTACCAGAATGACAATTCAATTCTAAAGGAAAGTCAGGTATGAGAGAAGAGTACATAAAGTCTGTGTTGTCTGCTACTTTCTGCGCCACACAGGTATTGATGTTTGTCTGGGAGCCACACCATCACTGCAGGGGATGAAGTGAGTGCTGGTTTTCAAGCACACAGGAGTGAGTTTCAGACACACAAAGCAGAACTCTTTCTGACAGCGAGGACAGGTGATGTTCTTGCAGCCTGTTTTGTCGTGCTCCACTATCTCACCACAGGTGGGACAGGCCCGGATGGAGGGACAGGCATCGACCCCCCGAACCTCAGGGAGATCAGTAGTCTCGCAGTTCTTGAGAACTTCGAGTTCGTGGTTTACGCAGCCATCATTATCACAGCGGTCTGATCGTGGAGCTCTACCTTTCCACGGCCTCAAACACTGGCAGCAGAACTCATACGCTTTGTTGTTGTCTGCTGTACAGATTGTGCACCTCACACTCAGGTTAGTCAGGTCCTCTCTCTCCACATAAGTCTTGCAACCAGGACACTGTTGTGAGAAAAATAAAAAGAATAGTTTAAAATTTCCATCCATCCATTCGCTTCCGCTTATCCTTTTCAGGGTCGCGGGGGGGGGGGGGGGGGGGGGGGGCTGGAGCCTATCCCAGCTATCATAGGGCGAGAGGCAGGGTACACCCTGGACAGGTCGCCAGTCTGTCGCAGGGCCAACACACAGGGACAGACAACCATTCACACTCACATTCACTCGCACATTCACACCTAGTGGCAATTTGGATTATCCAATTAACCTATCCCCACAAGTTTAAAATTTGAAAAGTAAAACATTTTGTGCTTTCCTCTATATCAAAGGATAAACTGTAGTCCCTTGGGCTGGAAAAGCCTGCATAAACCCAGCCCCACAAACTTTGCATGGAGAGTTCAGTTTAAAGGCTAGAAGGCCACACCCTGACAAGATATCCAAAGAGTGGTGCTCTCGGCCAAACGCATCATTCAATCAGAGCTTCCTGACCTTTTGTGCATCTACACCAAGCGGTGTAAGACCAAAGCCAGGAAGATTATGATGGACCTCTCCCATCCCAACAATGGACTCTTCTCACTGTTGAGGTCTGGGAAGCGCTTCCGCTCCCTTAAGGCCAAAACAGAGACAATGAATTGAATTCATTGTTGCGGGGGGAAGAATTCATTGAATTCTTCCCCCCGCAACTCGGGCCCTGAACCAGGTGTAGAACTGGACTCTGCTACATCACATCACTCCACACACTCTGTTTATTTCTTCTTATAATTTCTTTCTTAAATTGTTATTTACATATTTTTACTGTAAATTTCTAAATTTAAAATCTGTAAATTTTGTACATTTCTTTATTGTAGTTTAATGGTCGGACATTACACAGCATTTCACTACATGTCATTCTGTGTATAATTGAGCTTGTGACGAATAAAAATTGAATTTAAATTTGGAAAGGTGGGATCTCTCTGTGTAGAGTTTGCTTGTTCCCTTTTAGGTACTCCAGCTTCCCCTTACAAACCAAATTCGTGCTCATTCACCTATATTTGCATTTTCTTATTTCCATCTATATCTACTTTGTGGGATCTTCGACTTCCTGTGCATGTCACTTCTGGGAGTTTAAACATAAATTTTCAAGCAGGGAAGTTGAGTCGTCTTGCCCTGTGTCTTTCTGTCTTATGCCTGTTTGTTCATGATTGCTGAGTGGATTAGAAACACTCTCTATAGAAGACTTACTATTTTCAGCTCACAGTAGTCTCTGGCTGCCAGCTGGGCAATCTTCTCTTCAAAGTAGGCCATCTCTTCAACTGTCAGTGCTGCCAGCCTGCGCACCTCTGGATATGACCACACTTCACCACACGTCTCGTAGGTGTCCTCATTTAAAGCAGGACACTTAAATTTGTATTGGCCCTGCAGGGACACAAAAGGTTTAATCACCCGTAATGGGGAAGACATAGAGTGAGAAACTTTAAAAAAAAAAAAAAAAAGTTTAAAATGAAACAAAACAAAGTATTGTCTGGTAACAAAGAGCTTCATCATACAAAGATCAAACCAGATCAGGATGACAGTTTTTAAAATTAAGGGTGGCATTTCCATTTGACGTGTTTTCTATTTTGCAATTGTGACAGGTGAGACCTGAGTCTGGGAACCGCCCCTGGTGGGCGGAGCTGGTCCTTGCTCCTTTCATAAGCTCAGATGTGGGCAATTAGGTATTCCTCAGCAAACCTGAAGCTGCGAGTGCTTGGTCCAAGTTGGTGTTTTTAAATTTCTTTCCATGAAAGCTTGATGCGGGTCCCCCTAAACTTCTGTCAGAACGGTGGGAAACATTGCGTTCCCGTGAGAACAGTGTAGTGGACTTCACCGCCACTGACCCACATTTATTAGGGTGTGACGCGAACTTGTGGACAGAGTACCGAGCTGCTGCTTTGCCAAGTGGATTTCTGGCTGCGGGCAAAGGACCCGACACGTCACTGAATTTTAAACTGTTTTAACCTGGTGTAATTCAACAGACTGACTGCTGCGGCTGTCGATTGTGTTTGTTTCTTGTTTTATTTTTCTGTATCAGTAGGCACCACAGATATTGATTCTTTTAGTATTTTAACCCCTTTTTATATATATTGTCGCAGACGGTGAAGCGCTGCAGGGAAAACAAATCCTTTTTTGTCTCCCCGCTTTTGCATGCACAGCGGTGGGCCTGAGTGAAGACGGCACTGAAGATTTGCCTTTTTCTATAGTGTTTTGCCCATTTGGGGTCATGTGTGAGTTGCCGTCCCTTTTTAACCTGTGTGCTATGTCGATTTGTTCTTAAACGGTTCCCCGCAGCGCTTATCCTGTCTTACGGGCAATCATACAGTCTTATCGTTTTTAATAAAGTAAAGTTTTTAATTGTTTTTAGGTGCAGCTGTTATATTGTTACTTTCATTTTGAAAATTAAACCCTTTTTAACTGACTGTGCGCCTACGGCTCTGTCCTATTTTAAATAGGTACCTACCACGGGTCACACTGTAAACATTGACCAAAATTTGGAAAGAAAAAGAACAAAAATGAAGACAGAAAGAAACCTGATCCAGCAGACTGCGGCACCATCCGGTCAGAGATTCCGCTGTGACGGCATGACCGCAGGACATCTCTGCTACGAGACTGTCATCACCGGCTGCACAAAACAAAGAGAAAGCACAACGAGTTTTATATCAACGTCACATACAGTCTTATTTGACCAATAGGAAGAGTTACTTACATAAGCTAACACCGGCATAACACGTGTATATAACTGCTTTAGTTTGGTTAACTGGTAAAATAAGTATACAGACAACAGGTAAAAGTACAAACCGTTTATTTTAAACATATTTTAGTTCTTACATAATGGATCCAGCTCATCCCTCCTGTTGACAAATGTCAGCGTCGTATCGTTGGGGTCGTAGCTCTTGTCATCCTGATCTTGTGTCGTCATTCTGGTTCAGACGAGGTTTGCTCTCTGTCCACAAACTTGATCTTGGTTTAAACACTACAAATGAAATTAGCACCGAGGTTCTTGCTCTGTCTTCCTCTTTTAAAGCACCAAGATTCAGCAGCCCGTTTAACTTTCAGTTTCTCTACGGTACTTACAACAAGTCACATGGTGCACGATAACAGGCTTGCATCCCCCTCTGATATATTCGCACTAAGTGTACAGTTAATCCTCACAGCTTTAAGTAGCCTACCATGTGGATATTAATTGTGGTTGTGATAAACAGTTGTGCGTTGGCTTCAAAAAAAGACACCAATTAATGCTAACATTTGATAAACAAACGCTCCCTGGTCACATGACAAACAAAGGTGGAAATCACCCCCTCATAATAAACATTTGTAAACACTTTTACGCAGACGGAGAAGCAGAGATACTACCTTCAAAACAATAAAAAATAATAATTAAAAATAATTAGAAGATGAAGAATTTTGAGCGAAAGTGAAAGAATTTATCGGGTGTCTGACGTCAAACCTTGAAACCAAACAGCTGTTCGCACTGACATATCAGTGACAGACTTTAGAAGCGCAACAAATCGGACTTAACCGCAAAATGGGAAAAATCTACCAGGTGGTCGTTCATGGACTAAGGGGTCAGAAGATGATGTTGGACCTGTGCAACACCGAGGAGCAGTTTAAGAGCATGACCGTGAAACAGCTCAAGGAAAAATTGGCGCAGAAGCTTCCGGAGACCGCAGGTAAGACGGCAGATAGAAAACAGTGTATGTATGCTTTTATGTTGCTGATTAATTCAAAGGCATATTTACTGTAATGAGATTCTTTATATAAAGTTCCAATCCTAAAGTAAAACACTCAGATTGAAGTGAAAGTAAGGAAGTGGCGATGATAAATAATGGTTTGATGAAAGTGCATTACAGCATTAGAGATACTTTTGTGTCTGCGCGCGTGCGCATGTGATTTTAAAAAGTTACTGTCAATAAAAACTGAGTGCAGTAAATAGTGAAGCCCAAAATGAAAGTAAGCGAGCCCAAGAACAATTAGTGCAAACTCTACATCAAGCTCAAGTTCATGTAGTTATTTGTAGTTGAAGAGTTTCAAAGGCAAAAATGTTAAAGCAGTTAGAGAAAAAAAAGTGCATTATGTGAAAACTCACTCTAGAAACGAGGAAATCCAACTTTAAGTACATTACTTAAGTAAAGTAAGTAAATGTGGGCTAATAATCTAATGCATCTCTGTGGATGTGCCTAATAAAAATGATATAGATTTACTTAAAAAAAAAATGTGTGTGTGTGTGCAGGAGAGGAGGCTCTGCGCCTGATATTCACAGATAAAATGCTGGATGGAGACGACACCCTTCTGTCTGAATATGGAATCCAGCACATGTCTGTCCTCCACATGGTGATGAAAGTTCCTGGAGGACTGAAAGCTTGACTAAGATCATCTCCATCAGTCGTACCACTACTGCTGCTACTTTCTGTGATGCTTTAGAAAGCCTCTTGACACTGTTCACATGTATTGTAAATTATATATATAATTATTATACTGTTTTACTGTTTAGTGACAATGATCGTTTTATTGATCATCCTTTATTCCAAATACAACACCAGTCTGTGTTGTTCTATGAAATAAAAACTTTTTCCCAGTTATTTTCTTTGCGTTTTTGATTATTTTTAATCTTTATTTATTTATTTTTTCCCAGTTCCCACATTAGTCTCACAGTCGTGTAGATGGCCATAAAATATTGAAAGCTTCCGTATGCTCACTTTGAGTAATTTTAGGAAATTGGCAATTGCTGAAACAAAGGACACTGTTTGATTTTCATTTTTTATATTTTAGTTATAGGTGCAAAATATTGTATAATGTAATAGTCTTTGGCGCCAAAGAAAAACGATTACAGGTCACCAGAGAACTTCAATCTATACACCTGAAAACCACAAACCAGGCGAGAAATTTGAGTGTAGTGATGGATGCAGACCTAAACTTAGAAAAACACATTAAGACAATAACAAAATCAGCTTACTATCACCTCAAGAATATTTCAAGGATAAAAGATCTGATGTCTCAACAGGACCTGGAAAAACTAGTCCATGCATTCATTTTTAGTAGGCTTGATTACTGTAACAGCATCTTTACAGGTCTACCTAAAAAATCAGTCAGACAACTACAGCTCATTCAGAACTCTGCTGCTCGAGTCCTCACTAAGACCAAAAAAGTGGACCACATCAGTCCAGCTCTGAGGTCCTTACACTGGCTGCCTGTCAGAGGGTAGACTTTAAAGTTCTGATGCTGGCCTATAAAGCTCTGAATGGTTTAGGACCAAAATACATCAATGACCTCCTGACCCAGTATGAACCTTCCAGATCCCTCAGGTCATCTGGATCCGGTCTTTTATCAGTTCCCAGAGTCAGAACCAGACACGGAGGAGCTGCATTCAGCTTTCATGCTCCTTATATCTGGAACAAACTCCCAGAAAGCCTCAGATCAGCTGAAACACTCAGTTTATTTAAATCCAGGTTGAAGACTCACCTGTTCTCAGCTGCATTTGAATAAAACACCAAATCCACACTTTTAAGCTTAAATTTCAAAACTTACATTTTAACTACTGATTTTATCTACTGTTCTGATTTTATCTGTTTTGATTTTATATACTGTTTTGTTTGTTTGTTTGTTAATTAGTTAGTTTGTTGGTTTGCTTGTTTTAATCAATTTTAAATCATGCTTTTTATTTGTTTTTGTTTCTAATGTGTCTGTAAAGCACTTTGAATCACCTTGTTGTTGAATTGTGCTATACAAATAAACTTGCCTTGCCTATAAATATTGTTTTAAGTCAAACTTTTTTTTTTCATTTACGTTCTCCAAAATTGTTTTCATAGTTGGTAATAGTTCTAGGTTTAGTTTCAGTTAAGTTTAATAATCATGTTCTCTCAAATGCTTCACCTCCAAAAATGTGTCCAGTTCCTACAGCATAGTCACAAAGCATATTCAACAGTAAACCACAAGTTTGTCTCTGGTGTCTTTTCATAAATATTGAAGCAGCTGAAGATCCAGCTGCAGGTTCGCTGACTCATGAAACTTAGTCTGAACTGGTCCTCTCATGGGTCCCACAAAGTTTAGAAAGGGGTAGTGATCTACCTCAAAATGAAGAACTGAAATTATCCTTTAGGACTGCAGATTTACACAAGTCAGCAGATTCCAAGTTCTTCAGTTCAAACACCATGAAAATAAGTACACAGTATTACATACTTACTTTACGAAGATGAAGAAAACTCAAATTGTCATCCTCAAACGAGAGGAAACTGGGTATGATGTTTAAGAAAAACCCAGGAACCATCAAGTCTCGAGCATGCTATCAATTTATAACTGCTGGAACACCATTTTTACTGTCCATAGTGAAGACAGATACATCTCTATGGACTGTGAGGCTGCTGACCAAGAAAGAAGCCACTGCTCCATAGTCAGCATCTTCAAGTCTGACTCAAATTTGCAGCTGCTCGCATTTAAAACCAAATGCCACCTGGAAAAAAGCTTTATGGTCAAACGTGACAAAGATTGAATTATTTGGCCACAACAACAAGAGGTATTTTTGAAGGATTAAATATGAGGCTTCTCAACTTTTTGCTGGAAATATTTTATCAGCTTACTTTAAAGTTACAGTGGGGTGGACACACCTGTTTAACCATCCAGTGGAAGATATGTTTGATACTGTGAAGTGCTTTGAGAGTTTATGAGGATTATGTGAGCCAGGCATTTTGTTCTCTGAAAAAAAAAATAAAAAAAATAAGGGAAATTACCCAGTGGTGTTTGGTATGTGGCAACCTGTTGCTTCACATTCTGTTTGACTAAATGAAAAAGTGTTTTGAAGTAATCTGTTAATCTAAGCTGTGAGTGGTGAATAAGGAACTTCACACAGACAGCATTATCATTACCACAAAGGGCAAAGGTTTACTTCAACTGCAGTACATAAAACCCATTATTTGACATAAAAAAAGAAAAACTGAACTGTTAGTAATAGTTTAAAATTACTGTTGTTCTGTGGACACATGACCCATTATTGCCACAAAGAAACTGAAAGCATATAAAAATCTTCTAATATATCTTCTTGAAATCTTATCCAGTTCAAAGTCAGTGATAGCTGGCACCTATCTCTGCAATGAAAACAAAGCAATAAATGACTTGACCACTTGAAAACCAAACAAGATTTTCTAAAGTAAGACTTTGTTTCTGAAAATTAATAAATAACCCTGTAAGGTATTATCAGGCTGAATCACAGGGTTACAGACAGATGTATTTATACTATAGTTGTAAAGACATGTTTCCTGGTACAACAAATTTTCTGGCATGATATGATCTCAGCTGAGGCTGAAGCAGTAAAAGAAGGTGTGGGAGAAACACCTGTGTACAAAGGACTTGCCACATCACCAGGTATACTTGTTTTACTAGGTTTGTGAAAATTACTGTAGCAAAGTTGTTAAAACTAAATCTCTGTATGTGCATACTCATTTGTAACTTGTAGTATTCGTACTTGACTTGCATTCCAATTTTCCGATGTGTTCACATGTTTAGTTTACTTTTTTTCCCTTCCTTTATGTCCTTATATGCTGTTTTTACAGGTTTTTTTCAAAAGTAAGAGTTCAGAGGGGTATAGAACAAAGAAATGTGCTCTCTCTGCTGATGTTTGTTGCTAAAGTGACAGCTGCACATTCAATAATCAAACATGCCTCAGTTTCTTTGCAGAAAAGAAAGTGAAATAACTAATATGAAAAACAATTTAGGAAATATTAAACAGGGAAACAATATATTTAAGATATCGACCAGATGATTTAAAAAATATACATCCCAGTTATTTTAAATATAAAAACATTCAATTAAATGTTTAATTAGCATAAGGATGTGGAGACATAAAATAAATAATCATTTAATAATGATTCAACTTAATTTGACTCCAAATCCCGGTCTGGCTTTTTTATTTGTATTTTTTCAAAGCAACAAAACATGAACACAACCCACTTGATTTAGCAGCTTCTATTTCTACATCATCTACATCAGTTTGGGTGTATATTGGGTAGTTTGTGTGATGGTGTTTTCGTTCTTCTCTTTTGGTTCTTCTTTTCTGCTGCTCTGGCAGACTTGCATCATTCAGTTCTACTCTTCTGGGCTTGGCTGCATTTGTTGTCTGAGATTTATTTTCACTGACTCCTTCATTATTTTTGACACATCTCTCAGAGCTGCCCTGTGAGGGTTTCCCTACACTTTCTATTCTCATGTTCTTCATCTTTGTCCTGATGATTTCAAAATCTGGAGTCTGCATTTTTTCTTCATAAGTTATTTGAACTGTTCCTGACTTCTGTGAACCACGTCCTCCTTCTGTGACTCCCTGAATCTTTGGTCTGGCTTTTAGTTGAAAACTCTCTGCTTTAGTTTTTTCATTAGTAGCATCATCCTGGTTTTCTTTGGGTGCTTCTATTATTTCTGCTCCTGCTGGTCTCAGATGGGGTTTCTGTCTGATCTGAATTTGTTTAGTATTTCCTTCATATTCTTTCTTTTCCTCCACATCAACATCTTTCTGTGTTGTAGCAGCACCACTTACCTCCCCTACTGTGTTTTGTTCAAACTTACTGTGGTCACCTTTTTCGTCTCCTTTTCTTTCTCTCCTGTCCTCCTTCACATCTCTGATTTCTCTCTCTACACAAACATTATTATCACTTGAATGTGTAACACTGATCTCCTGCATGTTCAGTGTATCACTGTGTCTGCTTCTGTGTTTATGACTCTGATCATCTTGTAGTATGCTTTCTTTTCTATCATCAACTTTTTCTTTATCCTGAAATGTGTCACAGCACATCTCTGCTGTTGGTTTATCAGCACTAATCTTCCCTTTTGTCTCATGTTGAAAATCTGTTTTTGTTTTCTCCTCAGCATGAGAAGGACTACAGATTTGTTTATTCTCCTGATGTTCACATATGTTCTCTCCAACAGTGTCAGCTGGATGCTCTGCATGGCTTTTTTTCTCTGACTGTTTATCTTTAGCCTTTTCATCGTTATCTGCTTTATCATCCATTAATTTACTCATCTCATACTGTCTGCTTAGATCATCACAGACTGCTGATCGATCACTGATATCAAGTTTAAAATCAGTATTACTATCTGGTCTGTTCTTTTCAGCATCGTCCACTTCTGTATGTTTTTGATCCAGGTCATCACTTCCAGTGGTTCCTTTGTCCTCATTTGGTTCTTTGTCCAGAGGATCTACGTTACAGGGGGTGTCAGGTGATCCCCCTGCTTCTTGTAAGCGAGCAGTCTTTGGATTATCTGCGGTGTTTGTCTCCCTCCCATCTTCTCTCTTTCTCTTATTTTTCCCATCTTGACTCAGCATGAAGCATGAAGCACAAAGTAGAAACAAAATCATTCAGGCACCAAACAGCTGAGGAAACGACAACAAAAATATTTTCTCTTACCTTTCTTTTTGCTATAAAACAGAAGATATGTAGTCTGGGACCTAATTGACAAATATGACATGCAACAAATATGTTACTTTCACAGTTTCGCAGTGATGTGTTTGGCTAATATTTTATAACATATTTATTTTTTGCAGCAGTGTTTTCCGACGTATTAATATGTGTCTGTGTATGTTTACATTTTACTAACAGAGTAAATATTAAAATATACACATAAATGTTTTAATTGTTTTCATTGATTTTATTATTTTGCTTTTGCACAGTTTTGGGGACAGAGTTGAATCAATCACAGAAAAATCTGCAGTTGTGATTATAGCAACAGTGTGATATAATACTTCAACATGTAGCACACTGTAATTGAGAAAAGTGTATTTAACGCATGTTTAGTGCATACTCGTGTGAAAAGTTAAGAAATAATTGGAAAATAATGTACAGTGGAAGTAACAAGCACAAAAACTTACTTCTCAGTGTTATCCAGCTGGAATGGCTGAAAACCAAGCTGATGATGTAAAAAATAATAAAGTATGAGATGAATGATGAGCTGGGCCACTGTCACGCATGAGTAATGTAGGAACGTCTTTAGGTATCAAAAATGTATAAGTGATCCATCTTACCTCTGTGACTCTGGTATCATCAAACTGATACCATCTGTCTCTGTGGTCCTCCTGGATCTTGATTGTGGCGGAGTAATGTCCACCTCTCAGATCCCCAAAATGATCCAGAAACGCATATAGTTCATATTTCTGACTCTGATTACCAAAGGAAAAATGGCAAACATCAGAATGACTGAAGAAAATAAAATGGATTATGATTAAATACTAAAATATTCTGCACATTTACCTCTGGTATCTGCAGGGTGTAAGGAACCTCCACAGAACAGGTGATTTTGAAGTGTGACATGTAATTATAGTTGAACTCAAACCTCTTCAGCAGCAGACACAAAACATCTGGATGATGCTTTATTATATCTCTCTGAATGAAAAACATTTAATTTAGGACAGTTTTACTGATACAGCACCAAATCACAACAACAGTCACCTCAAGGAGCTTGTCTGCTTCCATTACAAGTCAATATGGTTTCATAATTTTATTTAAAGAATAACAAAAGAATCATAAACATTTTTAACTCACCATAGTAGCATCAACTTTGTCATCACACTGCTCACAGTACATCTGATTTTCTCCACAGAAATCTGAAGGTTTAAAAAACTCTTCAATGCCCTTCACCTGAAAAATATTATTCAAAATCAGCTCTGACAAAGATGTGCTGACCAGCATAAAGGCTGTGATTGTAAAGTGCTGGTAAATGTTTTCTCAGGGAGGAAGGTTTTCAATACACTAACTTTATTTAACATAAAAAATGTAAAAAGTTTTGCATTATTAGCAGCTGCCATCAAATAAACTCACTCTACTGGTTTTTGAACACAGTCTTTCAGTTGTGTTAACGTTAAAATTATTTTGGCGTGCTGGTCTCTGACTGAAACATGGACATCTAATTATTTATCTCTGCATCAGTGCCATAAATCAGAATTTTACTCAAGACCTAAAGGTAAATATATGCAGAAAAATTATTATGTATTGCACGTCTCTTTGTTACTTGTCATATCCTTACCACGCTGTAGTCTTTACTGCAGGAATCCACCAGTGAAAGAGGAAGAAGCCAAAAAGGTGCATCTCTGTCAGTCTGTATATGACCTTTAGAGCAGGTGGTCTTGTTTACTAACTGACCGTGGAAGATCTGAAAAAAGCACAAATACTTGTTGGCAAGTGATATTTTTTACCCAGCTTTCATATTTATAGGCTCACTTTTGGAACCAGTCAAAGAGAACAGTCTCTACCTGTGATGCATCCGGACTGGTCATTCTTAAAACCTTCTCCAAGCACTCTGCAGCATCACGCTGTTCATACACTGGGTGGGGAAATAAATGTGCATGCTTTCAACAAAACAATTAAGTTATTTAATTAAAAATGTTTTAGAATTATCCAGTCTAACAATTTAAACAAGTTAAACTATTAAATTACATTAAAAAACTGCACAGGCTGAAGAAGACTTTACTTCAAGACTTGTTGTAAATTGATCTACTTTAGATCAATTTATTAGACTCTTCAAACAATTCAAAGGTTGTGCTGTTTTGTGTGTTAACATACTGTACCATTGTCAATGCCCAGCTTCTGTGTTATCTTATATGAGTATGCTGTGTGGTTCTGTAAGTCATCAAATAAGACTTTAAGATGATGATCAAGAAACTCAGAGTGAGGATTTTCTCCAGAGTACCTACACAGAAGGTAAATACGAGTAATTAAAAATGCACAATAGACTTCATATTTGATAAATACAGGATCACACTTAAAGCTGGGCTGTAACAAACCTTGTCACAGCCTTTCTGAAGTCCTTGGTCATGAACAGCACCTGCAGCACACTGTTCAAGTAATCTGTCGCTCCCTGGTTTATCAGTCCATGGTACCTGTTAGCTAATGGGAGGAGACTGATCATGTAAATTTCAGAACGATGAGCAAATAATTATGGTGGATCCTAAATTAAAACCCCTTCTGCTAATCAATTAAATCAATGAATTAATAAAACAATAAGAATTATTCAAACTGAACCATTAAGGTCAAGGTTGTCAGTAAAACTTTATTTGTAAAATGGAAGACGTTCAGAGACACCTTCTTTCTTATAGCAGTGCGGCTAGACAAAACGGTAAATGGCCTGTATTTGTATAGCGCTTTACTAGTCCCTGAGGACCCCAGAGCGCTTCACACATTCAGTCATCCACCCATTCACACACACATTCACACACAGTGTGAAAAGCACAGTCTAAACCAGGAGTGGCTGAGAGAAGTGTTTCTACCTGTAAGGGCGGTTATTGAAAGTCATCTAAAAACAATAGACCTAGATGTTAAATATATGTGTGTAAAAAAACAAAAAAAACTGGCATCAGATCTTACCCAGAGAGGTGCTGCTGAATAGCCGCCGAGTACTCTCCAACAGAGACATTTTCAGTCACTTCAATTCTGTGTTACGGAGAGCTGCAAGTCTATACACCAGTCAGTATTTGTTTATAAACAACAACAACAACAACAACATTATTTATTATTAATTATTACTAGCAGGTAAACAAAGGCCCATGTTTTTGTACATAAGGTGCCAAAATCCACAGCCAGTGACAGGCTTTCAGTAACATCTCGAATAGAAAACACTTTGAGTATTACGATATTACCACTACAACACGCTGCTTTTCTAAGCTACATTTAATGACTTCCGACGAGGCTACGGGAAAAAAAACTATAATAAACAAAAACAATACCAAAAAAGAAGCTTCTTCCCCAGACAGACAGTGCTTTTCAAAGAAATTGCTGATGAAGAATAAAACAAACCTAATTATTTTCAAATGGAATACACAAGTACACAAAAACAAAAGATTCAAACATACCTTCAGTGGTAACAGGGATATTTTAGATATCTTAAAGATGTTTTCTAAGATCTTTGGCAATAAATGTTTTTAATTTATGGAATATTTGAGTATAGGATATCTCTATCTCTAGTGCAGTTTAAAACACTGGAGTAGCGCTTTCTCTTTCACTTCTGCTACACCTTAGTGTTGCATTCAGTGTGTGTCGGAATTTTGAAAATCTGGCGTATTCTTTCGTATTCTTTTGAATTTAAAGAGACCTGTAAGAACACTCTATTAACGGTGAAATGATAACTATTTCATTAACACTATTTTAAGTCACCAATTGCGTGAGCTTGACAGAGATTTAATTAAAGAGCAGAGATGGTAAATATTAAGCGCAAGTCTATTTCCACACACAACTACCTTCATCATGAATAAACGCAGAGTTTAAAAAGACCTCGTGAAGCTCTGCTAAACTCAAACTTTGTGTCTCAGTTTTTCTCAAACACTTTCATTTTCTTAAATCCACCAAAAAGGTACTTTTTTGATGTTGCTGCTACTAAAACCCTCTAGTTTATAAGCAGAGAAGCTTAAAATAAAGCTTTACAAAAAGGTTGGTTTTCTGTACATGTTCTGAAGTTATTTTAACACCAAATGTTTGGTCTTGATCCACTTGCAGCGTTTAAACTTCTGCAATACTGTATCTATGCATCAGTTTTCTTATCCTCTTATACAATTTGGCCAGAGTGGAAAATTGCCAGTGTATCAAAAGGCCAGGGCGAATCCATACATGTGAAACAAAAGTTAAGGTGTGAAACCATCAACATTCATTAACAGGGACATAGCTTAAATCCAGAATTTGGTGCAATGTTCACAAAGAAGCTAAAAAAGCTTCCTGTTGCAGGTAAGTGGTGTAAAATCCACTGTTAAAACACGTGGCTCACACTTATGTGAGATTGATGATGTTGCAGTTGTGTTCCTTATATCCTTGTTATGTTTTTAGACTGTAGTGCCACTGAACAGCTTCAGGTGTGTCACACGATCAAAGATGCTGCATAAAAGGTTTGTTTGTTGTTACCACATTTTTAGAAATTTTAAGCCTGAATAGTTTGTTTGGAAATAATGCTTACATAGGCTAAAAGAAAGGGTAAGAAAATACACCAGGATAAGCTGAGCTTTAACCAAAAACGCAGTGTAAAACACTCCAGGAAGTTACTGATACAGTCAAGAAATCTTTCCCAGAAGCACAAAGACACAGTATGTTATTTAATGACTCACTTGGCAGAGCCAGGACAGCTGATATGAAGAACTAAGCAAACAGGGTTTAGCTTAGCTTCACCTTTCTGTTTGAGTTTTGGCAGAAAGGTAGAAACTTATACTCCAGACCTGCATATGAAATTGGCGCAATAGAGTGGTTTTTTTTAATTTTTTTTAGGTAATTTTAAATGATCTGAATTTGCTTGCATGTTGCAAATGTAATACTCACACGTACGTTTCATCATATTACAGATCAGCAAAGATTTACCAAACTTTGACCCACATTCGAGAGAGGTGAATGTTGCTTTAGAGATTGCCAAAACAAGAAAGCTTATCACAGATTATGTTTTGAGGCATCTCTCTGCTGATAAAGAAGTTGAAGTTCAACTCATGTTTAATTGGGAAGTTTTATAGTCATGCGAAGTACTGCTTGACTGACTTGAGTCAGTCTTGGTTATAGCAGCGTCATCATTTCTCCCCGCATTTCCTGTCATGTTGTCACTGCTTTACAGGCCTGAAGCTCGACAGTATAAAATGTATCCTTATCTGTAAGGTAAGGATACATTGTGTACTGTTTGTTTGTATATGTGTTTTTCTTGCTGCTTTTACCCAAATTTCCCTTTGTGGGACAATTAAAGGATTATTCTATTCTATTCTATCCTTATGTGAGTAAAAGAAAACATAATTAAAATATAATGTGTTAAATTTGCTTAGATGAGAGGATCCAGCTGTAGATCAGATGAATAGGAAAGGATTTGTGAATGTGTGTGCTTCAGTTTGGTTTAGCTATAGGCCTGAACGTGTCATAAAATTAGGAATAGACTTATAGGAGACCCTCCCCCCCCTTGAGTTGGGAAAGTCAGAGAAAGAGAAGTTATAGCTGAGTGGAAATTCCCCAGGGGATACCTGGGGTGGGGCTCTCAGTGTTTGTAACCTGATGATTGTGGTCTGGAGGGGAGATGGACTTTTATGACCGGCAGGGAATCACATACGCAGGGGTACCTACACGTGCACACACATACACACACACACACATACACAGGTACGCGCACACACAGGCACGCGCACACACAGGCACGCGCACACACAGGCACTCACGTGTTCGCGCATACATACACAAACACAGAGTGTACAACACACCATGTGGGTTTTATGATGGAGTCGCTTCTATAAAACTGGTTAAAACAGACAAAGCAGTGAAGATCTGCAGACGGACACCGGCCTTACATGTCTTCCCTTCTGGAAGTTGCATGCGTAACTGAAGATGAATAAAGGTTTTGTGAAATGACTACTGAGTCCGGTGTAGTCTCTGGAGGCCTGAGGAATAAAAAAGAACCGGGGTGAAACTGCTTTATGTAACACTTACCTGTTCCAGTACAGCACAAAGATTAGTAAAGTTCTGTATTAGAAATGTGCCTTAAACAAAATAAAGGAACATATATAAAAGCCAAATACATAATTAAACAGCATTTTACTATTGTACTTTATATAAGTATAGCTCATCTTGAAATGTTTTACAGTCGGAATAACATGCTGGTTATTTCCTAAAACAAACCAGATGTCCACCTGCCTGAAGGGAAGAAGAAACAAAGTCACCGCGTGGTAATTACTAGAAATAGTAAAGTTTAATGAATGGTGTAGAAACTAGTTTAAACAACAGCTTTCAGAGAAAGCAACTCCTCCTGAACTGGAAGGGTATAATTAAACATTAATGTTTTATTATGTCTCAGTTTTGATGTTGGGTACTAACGGTGAAGGTTGAGGTCATATGATTAGTCAACCTGGGTACTTTGTAGGTAGCTTGAAGATGATCCATAAAAACATGAATTTAATACATTTGCTGTGATTTTGACCCGATTTTCACCAGAATTAATTCAGCTCGAGCTGTTATTGGTCTTTTCTATCATCACAAATAATTTGAAAATGATACCTTGAAAACTTTGGAGGCTAAAGTGACCACAGGTGGGACAGTCACGGATGGAGGGACAGGCGTCAGCTCCTCAAACCTGAGGGAGATCAGTAGTCTTGCAGTTGTTGAGAACTTCGTGGTTTGAGTGGTCTGAGCATGGAGCACCATTCCATGACTTCAATCATTGGCAGCAGAAGTCGTACAGTTTGTTGTTGTCTGCTGTGCAGATTTCTCAACTCAGCAGATTTTTCAGCTAAATGTGGTGTTATTTGCAAAGCTTTGCAAATAATTCTCGTATAATCTATAAATTGTGCACATTTTGTTCCCACTTTTTTAGAAACTTGATTGGGTATAATCAGTCTGATTTGCTTAAAAATAAAATTACAATCTTCTCTTCAAAGTAGGCCATCTCTTCAACTGACAGTACTGCCAGCCTGAGGACCACTGCACCACACTTTCCCATCATTTCACTTAAAGCAGGGCAGTTAAATTTCTACTGGTCTTGCAGGGAGCAAGTGGTTTAAAAACAGCAAACAACTCTTAAAAACATGAGGGTAGTGAAAATAAACCAAAACAATAAAGTATCAGGCCTGGCAACAAAGAGCTTCATCTTACAAAGTCCCATCAAGCCAGGTGAGTACTTTTTTTAAGTTCAGCGTTATCATGCTCTGTAATTTAATGCTAGAAATGTAAGTATTAGCCACATTTTGGAAAGTGAGAGAAAAAGGAAGGAACAAATGAAGAAAGAAAGAAACTTGATCAAGCAGACTGTGGCACCACCAGGTGCATGACCATGACCACATGACATCTCTGCTACTAGAGTGTCTCCTCACCAGCTGCACAAAACAAAAACAAAGGACACCGAGTTTGATATCGGCATCACAAACAGTCTACATGTGACCAATATAAGGAAATACCAAAACACTGAATATATGTGAGCATTTTTCTGATATACCTAACACCAGCATAACAAGTGCACATAACTGCTTTAGTTGGCTTAACTGGTACACCAAGGGCGTAGATTTGGCATGGACGAAGGGACATGTCCCCACCAATATCCAGCAATTATTGAATTTTCCCCACCAATAATTTGATCTCTTCGAGTAAAGAAAACAAACCTGATAGAAAGAAATAACGATCTGTCAACGTCTCATTCACCCAGCGGTGCAGAAAGAGTTAAATTATATCCTCTACTGGAGTCCTGCCTCATGTGACAAATGTGGCCAATGTGATTGGCTGTGCCTTTCAGGGAGCTCCGCTCCCTGAAGACCAACACAGAGAGACTGAGGAGGAGCTTCTTCCCGCAGGCGATACGGTCTCTCAATCACACCACCACACAGTACTGACCCACACATACAGTTCTTACACACACACTGGACTTTCTGGACTTTGGTTTTGCACACATTGTTTTTTTGCACAATACTGGTCACTATATTCTTCATTTCCGGTTAATACTTGTACAGCTGCTGTTATTGTGTATATATTTATTTATATTTAGATTTCTTCATACATTCTTATATAGTTCTATATTGTGTATTGTGTATTTTGTTGTACAGTTATTTTATTTTCAACTTTAATTTATATATTTTATCTTATTCTTCCCAGTTAAATTTACCCTTCATTCTAATTTGTGTTGTACAGTTATTTCATTTTTAACCTTAATTTATATTTTATTCCTTCTTAGTTAAATTTACCCTTTTTAATTTTTCATATTTATTTCCTATCTTATTCATAGCCTTTTCCTTTTTTGTTTTCTTTAGGTCACGGGCAGTTGTCCAAGCATTTCACTACATATCGTACTGTGTATGACTGTGTACGTGACAAATAAAAATTTGAATTTGAATTTGTTTAGTTTTAGCAGCGCCAAGCCTGCGCTGCCAGGAGGAGAGGAGGACTGCAGCAAAAAGGAAGAACCTGGATATAAGAAAGTATTTTTCAAAGAAACCTGTAAATCACTTAAAGTCAAGTTCACTCATAAAATGTGTCCGTCATAATAACGTTACAGGCTGTGCTAGGCTTTGGCCCACATCAGTCTAAAATTGTAACCATGAATAATGTGTTTTGGAAACTAACTGCACAACAGGAAGCATTATTAGTTATCTCAGTCTCTCAGAGCAGCATTTCTAATTTTGATTGAAACTGTCAGAGAAAACGGCAGCCTCGAGCAAGCCAGGATATTAGTTTATAGCGGCTGTTAACATTATATGTCTAACATTAAAATTTCATCCTAATGGTACTGACATATTCATAGGGTTTATTTTGAGACAATATATCATGAGGTAGCCATGATTTTGCAAATATTCCAACTTGTAGTGCAGTTTGCAGAAATTGTTTTAAAAATGCACTCACCCTAAAAACATGCCTAAAATGTTGCATAATTTTGCTGAGAAATCTTTTACTTTGTGGTCATCTTAGATGGGTAGTTTTATGGACAAAACCCACCAGGTCATTCAGTGTTCCCTTACTGCTAATGTATAAGAGATGTTGGTGTAATATAACTGAAGTAATGTTGTTAAGTCCTTAAAGTCATATTCTTTTATTGTCATGACTGTATTTGAAGCTATTTTTTTTGTATGATACCTGATTTATATGAAATATGGCTGAAGTAAACTGAAGTATAAAATACTTAGTCAGTCATTTGTTTAATAGTAATTTAATATTATAAAATTCAAATGTAAAACTATGAATTGTCATTTTAAATGGTTTAAAAGCATGTAGAATAGCATATGTAGGCAAGTATATTTCACCTTTTATCAAGAAGCAAAGACAAAAAGGGGAAAAATAGAAACAGGGCAGGGTTCGGTGGTTGAACCATCCGTCCCCACCAATGCCAAAACCAAATCTACGCCCTTGTGGTACACTAAGTGAAATTAGAACCGAGGGTATAACTTTATCTACTCATTTAACGCACTAAGATTAAGCAACCCATTGAACTTTCAGTTTCTCCAGGGTACTTACAACAAGTCATATGGGCGACCGTGGCTCAGGGGGTTGGGAAGCGCATCTGTAACCGGAAGGTCGCCAGTTCGATCCCCGTCGTTGTGTCCTTGGGCAAGACACTTTACCCTACCACCTACTGGTCTCGGCCAGAGGGGCCGATGGTGTGATATGGCAGCCTCGCTTCTGTCAGTCTGCCCCAGGGCAGCTGTGGCTACAACTGTAGCTTGCCTTCACCATTTTATGAATGCGAGAGTGAATGAATAGTGGCATTGTAAAGTGCTTTGGGTGCCTTGAAAAGCGCTATATAAAAATCCAATCCATTATTATATGGCGCATTACGACAGGTTTGCATTACCTTTTAATATATTCAGAGTCTGTGTACAATTAATATGTAGAACAGCTCTGGATAAAAGCTTTAAGTTGCCTACCACAGGATATGAATATTTACTATAAATGAGACGCATATTACAGGGATCAGCTGATAAACACTCACTGGTCAGATGAATACTAGATACTAGTATGTTGTTGTCAACAGAAACTGAGTGAAGCCCAAAATGAAACTAAGCTAACCCAAGAATAAGTAGATAAAACTTCAGGCTGCTCAAGAAAATGTTATTTTTAGTTGTAGTTAAAAAAGTTTATGCTCAAAAATGTCTGCATGTTAGAGAAAAAACCTTTTAGTAAAAGTAAACTGAAAAGTGAAATTATTTTTATTAACTCAGCAGGTTCACAATCAGTGAAAATGTGGTGTTTCAAGTCAATTTGAAACTGAAACTCTGAACACAACCTGCTCCTGACCAGGTTATGTGATATCTATGAAATCAACTAGATTCTATAGAACAAAGCTCAAACATGAATGATGACTAAGAACAAAAAAGAACAATAAAACCCAGCAAAAGTCATGCAATAATAATAATAAAAAATAATAAAAGAAAAAAAAATGGTTGGAATCTTCCAGAATGGTCCAGATGGAATCAGCTACAGACTATCGAGGAACTGTACAGATCAACTCTGTGAGGTTATCAGATACATCTTTAACATCAGTCTCGGTCTGGAGAGGGTCCCCATTCTGTGGAAGACCTCCTGCATGTTGCCGGTACCAAAGACAACATACCCCAAGGAGCCAAACCACTTCAGTTCATATATGATAATAATAATTAAAACCCCACCTCAGGTCCCGGCACATCCTTTATATGTAAGGCACCTAATTTGCTCAGGTGTGTCTCTCTCTGCAGGAGAGGAGCAACAAAAACAACACTTACTGTGGTCACCTTTTTTGCCTCCTTTTCTTTCTCTCCTGTCCTTCACATCTCTGATTTCTCTCTCTACACAAACATTATTATCAGGTGTGTCTCTCCCTGCAGCAGAGGAGCAACAAAAACAACGCCGTACCACAGTGACAAACCATGAACACCACTCAACTGTCTCATTGTCTGCACTTGATTTAGCAGCTTCTATTTCTAGATCCACTTGTGGAACTTTGGTGTATTTTGGATGGCTTGTGCCATGTTGTTTTTCTTCTTCTCTGGGCTTGGCTGCACTTTTTGTTTGAGATTTATTTTCAGTGTGTCCTTCGTTATATTTGACATGCCTAGCAGAGCTGTCCTGTGAGGGTTTCCCTACACTTTCTATTCCCGTGTTCTTCATCTTTGTCCCAATACATTCACCGTGAGAATTCTGCCTATTTTCTTCACAAGTTATTTGTTTGTTAGTATTTGTTATAACTTTTCCTGACTTCTGTGAACCACGTCCTCCTTCTGTGACTCCCTGAATCTTTGGTCTGGCTTTTAGTTGAAAACTCTCTGCTTTAGTTTTTTCATTAGTAGCATCATCCTGGTTTTCTTTGGGTGCTTCTATTATTTCTGCTCCTGCTGGTCTCAGATGGGGTTTCTCTCTGATCTGAATTTGTTTAGTATTTCCTTCATATTCTTTCTTTTCCTCCACATCGACATCTTTCTGTGTTGTAGCAGCACCACTTACCTCCTCTACTGTGTTTTGTTCAAACTTACTGTGGTCACCTTTTTCGTCTCCTTTTCTTTCTCTCCTGTCCTCCTTCACATCTCTGATTTCTCTCTCTACACAAACATCATTATCACTTGAATGTGTAACACTGATCTCCTGCATGTTCAGTGTATCACTGTGTCTGTTTCTGTGTTTATGACTCTGATCATCTTGTAGTATGCTTTCTTTTCCTTCATCAACTTTTTCTTTATCCTGAAATGTGTCACAGCACATCTCTGCTGTTGGTTTATCAGCACTAATCTTTCCTTTTGTGTCATGTTGAAAATCTGTTTTTGTTTTCTCCTCAGCATGAGAAGGACTACAGGTTTGTTTATTCTCCTGATGTTCACATATGTTCTCTCCAACAGTGTCAGCTGGATGCTCTGCATGGCTTTTTTTCTCTGACTGTTTATCTTTAGCCTTTTCATCATTTTCTGCTTTATCATCCATTAATTTACTCATCTCATACTGTCTGCTTAGATCATCACAGACTGCTGATCGATCACTGATATCAAGTTTAAAATCAGTATTACTATCTGGTCTGTTCTTTTCAGCATCATCCACTTCTGTATGTTTTTGATCCAGGTCATCACTTCCAGTGGTTCCTTTGTCCTCATTTGGTTCTTTGTCCAGAGGATCTACGTTACAGGGGGTGTCAGGTGATCCCCCTGCTTCTTGTAAGCGAGCAGTCTTTGGATTATCCGCAGTGTCTGTCTTCTCCACTTTTCTCTTTCTATTGCTCTTATTTTTCTCATCTTGACTCTGATCATATTCATTACTGATGGTGGGTGGTCCACTGGTGGACACATCTGTGGACTCTGGAGTACCAGTATCTGCAGTGTGAAGCACAAAGTAGAAACAAAATCATTCAGGCACCAAACAGCTGAGGAAACGACAACAAAAATATTTTCTCTTACCTTTCTTTTTGCTATAAAACAGAAGATATGTAGTCTGGGACCTAATTGACAAATATGACATGTAACAAATATGTTACTTTCACAGTTTCGCAGTGATGTGTTTGGCTAATATTTTATAACATATTTATTTTTTGCAGCAGTGTTTTCCGACGTATTAATATGTGTCTGTGTATGTTTACATTTTACTAACAGTGTAAATATTAAAAGATACACATAAATGTTTTAATTGTTTTCATTGATTTTATTATTTTGCTTTTGCACAGGAGAGTTTTGGGGACAGAGTTGAATCAATCACAGAAAAAATCTGCAGTTGTGATTATAGCACAGTGTGATATGATACTTCAACATGTAGCACACTGTAATTGAGAAAAGTGTATTTAACGCATGTTTAGTGCATACTCGTGTGAAAAGTTAAGAAATAACTGGAAGATAATGTACAGTGGAAGTAACAAGTACGAAAACTTACTTCTCAGTGTTATCCACCTGGAATGGCTGAAAACCAAGCTGATGATGTAAAAAATAATAAAGTATGACATGAATGATCAGCTGGGCCACTGTCACGCATGAGTAATGTAGGAACGTATTTTGGTATCAAAAATGTATAAGTGATCCATCTTACCTCTGTGACTCTGGTATCATCAAACTGATACCATCTGTCTCTGTGGTCCTCCTGGATCTTGATTGTGGCAGAGTAATGTCCACCTCTCAGATCCCCAAAATGATCCAGAAACGCATATAGTTCATATTTCTGACCATGATTACCAAAGGAAAAATGGCAAACATCAGAATGACTGAAGAAAATAAAATGGATTATGATTAAAAACTAAAATATTCTGCACATTTACCTCTGGTATCTGCAGGGTGTAGGGAACCTCCACAGAACAGGTGATTTTGAAGTATGACATGTAATTATAGTTGAACTCAAACCTCTTCAGCAGCAGACACAAAACATCTGGATGATGCTTTATTACATCTCTCTGAATGAAAAACATTTAATTTAGGACAGTTTTACTGATACAGCACCAAATCACAACAACAGTCACCTCAAGGAGCTTGTCTGCTTCCATTACAAGTCAATATGTTTTCATAATTTTATTTAAAGAATAATAAAAGAATCATTTTTAACTCACCATAGTAGCATCAACTTTGTCATCACACTGCTCACAGTACATCTGATTTTCTCCACAGAAATCTGAAGGTTTAAAAAACTCTTCAATGCCCTTCACCTGAAAAATGTTATTTAAAATCAGTTCAAACAATCATGTGCTGACCAGTGAAGTGAAGCTAAGAATCTTTCCTCAAGGAGGAAGATTTTCAACATGGCCTACTAACTTTATTAATTCAGACCTAAAGGTTAAGATGTATTGTTTAAGAGAAAAGTGAAAAGAAAAGTCATAAAGTAAAATTACCACGGGAGGGTTTGTTTTTTTTCTACTTTCAGCTCTGTACACCACCACAGTGGAGTGTAAATCAGTCAATATGTGACTAAAGTGCAGACTTTTAGATTTAATTCGTTTCTTTTTTTTAATTTGTATGACCTGTATCAGAATTACAGCTTTTACAGGTTTTTTTTCAGAGATCATTGCTGTAAATTTTCCTGCTAAATAATCAGATACTTTAGACAAACCAGAAAACTCAAAAGAGTGGACATACATAATTATATACCTATATCCTTCATTGTGATTCCTTTCCACTCATTAGCATCAAACAACAGTGGGAAACTAAGTTGGAAGTACAGCTTCAGACCTCTGGTAGGACAAAGCGCTGCACAGAATCTACTTAAGCAAAGCTAAATGCATAAACTTTATGTTGTGGATTTAATAAAACAGTCATCATTTACTGGGGAAGATAAAAATATTATATATCTTTTACTGGCAAAAGCATGTAAGTTCAAAATGTTTCTCACAGCTGTCATGTCCTAGCAGACAGAACATGCTGAGAAGTTTGCAACTTGTCATATCCTTACCACACTGTAGTCTTTACTGCAACAATCCACCAGTGAAAGAGGAAGATACCAAAATGGTGCATCTCTGTCAGTCTGTATATGACCTTTAGAGCAGGTGGTCTTGTTTACTAACTGACCGTGAAAGATCTGAAAATACAGATGCACAAAAATCTGTTCATTTTCTTTCAGTTATAATTAGAAAGCATTTGTTCACAACAAAAGTTGTCCAAAGCATTTTATACTCTAAGGCAAAGACTCCACAATTAAAAAGTGATATATTGATCCAGTGTGTAGATATAGATATCCTTTAGCATCGATGAAGACCTTACCTTTGATGCATCAGTGCTGGTCATTCTTAAAATCCTCTCAAAGTACTCTGCAGCATCACGCTGTTCATACACTGTGACAAATGCATTTTTGTAAAAGTCATTTTGTAATTTTGCCCTACAATTTTCCATTTTTATAATGATGAAATAATTAGATCAATGATAGTAATATTTTTAAAGTTATACAGTGCTCAGGAGTTTACAGTGTTAAAAAGGTTTTGTTGTTCTGTACCGTTGTCGATGCCCAGCTTGTTTGTTATTTTAAATGTGTATGTTGTATAGTTCTGTAAGTCATCAAATAAGGCTTTCAAGTCATGATCAAGGAATTCAGAGTTTGGATTTTGTTCGGAGTACCTACACAGGAAGTAAACATGAGTGATTAACAAATGCACCGTAAACTTCATATATGATAAATACAGAATCACACTTAAAGCTGGACAACAAACCTTGTCACAGCCTCTCTGAAGTCTTTGGTCCTGAACAGCACCTGCAGCACACTGTTCAAGTAACATGTGGATCCTCGGTTTATCAGCCCATGATACCTGTTAGCTGATGGGAAGAGAGAATTCATACAAAGAAGATATATATTTAAAACATGAGCCTGGATCATAAAATACCCAAAGAGAAATAAACCAAAACAGTCAAACCCATTTATATTTTATTTATTTATTGATAATTTATTCTATAACTATTATATTTTAATTTCTACAGGAGTTTAACTGGGTATTTTTTATTTCGTTTTTCTTTTGTCGACATTACGTTAAAATATCTAATTTTCCACTTCTAGTCAAATCTAATTGTTTGATGTGATCGGCTGATTGGGAAAGCACGTGCCGATTAATATTGTGTTCCAAACTTTACAGTGCGAGAGAAAAAAGAGAGCCAATAAAGAACTGCCTGTAAACCTCCGAAATAAATTACGTTGACCCATAGATCAGGGCCATGTAAGGCTGGAGCATTGCCAGGAGTATAGTGGCCTCAGTAACTGGTCAAGTAGAACAAGCAAAACTCTCTTTAGAGTCCGTGTCTGTCCAAACTAAGTAATCAACCTAGTGCAATAAATTGGTTAGAAAAAAGAATCTAAACATAACTTCAGAAATCCTGAGAGAGATCTATAATTCAGCAATGTTCTATCTATTAAACATTTATGATGATAAGGATGTTGATGAAGGCTAAATGGAAAAAAGCCAGCTCCAAGTACACGAGTAGGCTACTAAAAAAGACAAAAAGGAAATCGAAATTCCTGGACGCTGGATAAATATACAACTTATACAATACGCTTGAGGAGGAAAACAAAAAACAATCAAAAAATGCTCTAAATATTTACTAAAATCGTATTTGTTGTAAACAATACCTGTGTCCTTTCTGCTCATTTTCACTTCACTTTACTTGCTGTTCTGCTGAAGAAACTGCTCCTTAAAAGGAATAAACGGCAATTAACGGGAAATAAACAACAGCACATACAATCCTTCCTTCGGTTTATTTCAAGGCATTTCTCTGGATCCTTCGGAAACTACTTTATTCTCGAGGCAAACAAACATACTGCGACCTGCAGATCCAGTGAATTTAAAAGCACCGGAATACTTTCTCTTTCTCTTCTCGTCGAGTTGCTGCAATGTTGCCTTCATGCTGTGTTGGAAATCTCGAAATTATCAAAAGACAGCTAGATGACTGACAATGATTTACAGTTGTTTCCTTTTCAGAACCAGATTATTAAAAATGTGAATGAAGAACACCTAATATGTTCTGACTCACAAACACAACACACAGAAGCTATTAACATGGACTTCAGTTTCAATTGGGTAGTATATGAAATTTACGCAAGACAATGAACGCAGCATATGAAGTAATTGACAGGGTGAAAAGGAGATCTGGATTTCATTTTTACAAAGCTTATAATATTGTATTTAATGTACCTTCACAAGAAAAGATGTATTGTGAAATGTATTCATTGACGTCATCTGCGTCACTTTGAAATTCAACAACTGTTTTAATCTATGAAATAATTTTTAATCACAGATTTTCAGAGACAAATCACTCACTATGCTTCTTGCTCATGATTTAGAGAACCTCCTGCTGGATACACACTAGAGAAAACGTGAGAAAACGTGCCCTGCATTTATTAACGTATTATTACGGCTTCTGTTTTCTAAGGACCTCCAAATATGCACGCTTAATCAAAGATGACACAGTTGAAATATTACAGTTTTATTTTATTCATCAGTGAAAAATGAGTGTATCAGAAGTGCTTTAAAACAAGGCTAAAACATATGTAAACAGTTGCGAGAGCTTTCACGTAGCGTCAACGGCATTGGCAGCTGTAGGTGGAGCCTGTCTCGCTCAGGCTCTCAGTCCTCCGGGAAGTCTCAGCACTACTTGGATAACAGACATATGCTGGATTCCATATTCAGACAGCGCCTTCTTATCTTCATCCAGATTCTTGTCTGTGAATATCAGCCGCAGATTCCCATCTAACACACAGAGAGTGAGTGAGAGAGAGAGAATAAGAGAGTTTCTACTTTTTCTGCGTTAACGGTTCACTTTACTAAACTAAATAATTAAATGAATCTATAGCAAAATTCAAAATAAATAAACAAAGCTTCATAATGTAGCTTCCTTTTCTTTGGATCATCCGTTAGCCCCAGTGCTTACTTTAAATATATTATACTCTTCCGCGAGCAAGAAATCTAAGTCTTGATCCGCCACAACAAATTAAATATATTTTCAAAGGACATTTTGGAACAACCTGAACAACATGAAACCAAGAAAATTACCCTGAGCTCGTTCATCGTGTGGACAATAATGTAGGCTAATACAACGTAAATTATGAGTGTTTCACTTCTCTTTGTATTTACCTGCAGTTTCTGGAAACTTCTGTCTTATTTTTTCCCTCAGCTGCTCCACTGTCATGCTCTTGAACTGCTCCTCGGTGTTGCTCAGATCGACGGTCACCTTCCCACCCCTTACCCCAGAAACGACGACCTGGTACAGCTTCCCCATTCTGTGCGCTCCCTCCGCTTCTGCTGCGGACGCTAATAAGGTACTTCTGAGTCTGACGTCACAGGGCTGAGTATACTTTCACTTTCATCTAAATGATTGTTTTTACCACTCATGCCTCTTCTTTTTCTTTTTCAGTTTTACACAGCTCTATAAAAATGGGTTTGATATATTAGATTTTCTCTACAAAATGCAAATTCAGGTTTTTTTTTAAAAAACAAACCAATGAAAAACAAATACATGTTAACAATCTTCAAACGGTGTTTATGAGAAGCAGTTTACCATTGTCTACATTATAGTGCCTGTGCTGTGCATCACTCACCATTTACACACTCAATTGTTCAGTGTGTAAATGCATTCCCTTATTGGACACTCAATCATAGCTGAAAATCACCTGATATACCAGTTCATGATGAGTGGGCGTGTTTCTTTACCAGCTGTTCCCTTCTCCTACACATTTTATTAAAAGTCAGTGCTGCAAAGAACACAGACCTGTTACAGAGCGCTGTTTCACGTGACTTCTGGTAACTGCAGGAGGAAGTCAAAGTTTAAAATTATGGTGCTGTCAACACTCGGTTTTCCCTTCACTTACTGCAGACACAGATTGTTTATCCACGGAGGACGGAGAGTTTCTGAGCTAAAATGACCGAAGAGAAAAGATACGACCCCAGAGACACGACCCAGAAATTCGTCAACAGGCCCGATGATCTGGATCCGCTACATATATAAGAAAACTATTTAGTAGCCTAATCATCACTGAAGCCCCTTAATTCTGCTCTTTTTAATAACTGTGCATAATTTGATTTGGAATTATTATAACAAATGCACTGGTTATCCCAATTAAACCAAATGAAGTAGTATTTCATACACAAATTTTACTTTTTTGCTAAATTTCCGGGGTCGAAGTCTTTGCGCAAAGTAGGTTCTCTTTAATACCGGGCAGGCTTTTCCACACTGTTGAGTTCACTGTCTGCGCTTATTGTTGTTTCTCTCAGCTCCAGTGGAAGGAGACCAGGATCAGCAGAGATGTCCTGCGGCCATGCCGTCACTCCGGACAGTCGCTTAATGAGTGGTGTCGCAGCCTACTTTCCAGGCTCTGAATAAAGTCATTGTTTTCATATAGTTTTACTTTTAGATTTCTACAAAACAAAAAATTTAATAATTAATAATTAGTTTAAATTAATTCTATAAATGTATATATATATATATATATATATTTATATTTTTTTATTAGTTTTTTCTGTTTTCACAAATAGTACATACGGTAATAACATAACATAATAAAGTGTAGAATTCAGAACCAAAAGTAAATTAAAAAACAAACAAACCAACAAAAACAAATAAACAAAACAAAAACAAACAGACTGATAACTAAGCACAGGACACCAGCTCAGTTCCATCTAAAAATAAATAAAGAGAGAATACAATACAGCACAAACCTGTGGTCCCAGTAGTACGTTGCAGTTTGAACACTCAAGAGAATCCCTGTAACATAATATTAGAAACATCAGGTTCCACATAATTCAAGTATGGTTCCCACACCTTAAAGAATTGGTCTGTTTTTGAGTGCAGTATACATGTAAGATATTTCAATGGCACTAGATCCAACACTACTCTTTGCCAACCCTTAATAGTTGGTGCTTTTTCATAAATCCACTGGAGTAGTATATTCTTCCTTGCCGCATAGGTGAGAACACAGTACAATCTCCTATTATTCTTGGATATTAATCGCCGGCTGGGGAGGCCCAGTATGAGAGACAGAGGGTCCATCTCCAATTCACAACCGAAAATCTTCTCCGTTTCAGATAACACATTAGACCAACATTCTTGCAATTTCAAACATGACCAGAAGCTGTGAGTTAGGGTACCAATTTCTGTCTTACATTTGAGGCACATGGGTGAAAGGGTAGGATTATATTGATGTCTGCAAAATATGGATATATGCATTCTGTGTATGATTTGTATTGCTTTGGTACGATTACAAACTGAGATTGATTTGGCATAACTCCAGACATCTTTCCACTCTTCATCATCAATTGCTATACCTAACTCCTTTCCCCATGTGCCTTTAAGCCTCTGTGACATCACTAAAAGTACAGAATATAAAGCCTTATAAAATATCTTCACAGGTACCTCTTTGTCTGTTAAAATTAATAATTTTTCAACAGGAGAGACTTCGTGACTCTCACTAAGGCTAGTACTATGTAAAATATAATGCCTTATCTGTAAGTAACGGAAAAAGTCATGTTTGGGGAGAGAATATTTCTCAACCATTTGGTCAAATGGCACAACTACATTGTCGGAGAATAAGTCCCTCAGTCTCTGAATTCCTTTGTTCTTCCATTCCTTAAAACCTATATCAAAGATCCCCGGTTGGAAGTCAAGATTATTCACAATAGGGGTAAACACATTGTATATTTAACAGATGATCGTAAGGCTTTTAAAACAAGGGTATATTTGTAGGCTCAAATATTAGCTGGCATACCTTTTTTTTTTTAAATTGAGGAGTGAATTATTAAGTAAAGAAAAAGCTCTGTATACCATGTAATCAACAATAAAAAGAGGGAGATGTACACACACACACACACACACACACACACACACACACACACACACACACACACACACACACACACATATATATATATATAAACTTGAATTCTCCTCTTCACAGTTGAAACTGAGACTTGCTTACTGCAACCACTGTGCTTGAAGCTGTTGTCCTGTGAGCCGCCTATCACGCAAGCTGTTAACTCGCAGAAGCTTCCTCTGATTCAATTGTGACTTAGGGTCTACCAGACCTCTTCCTGTCAGAGTTTGCCCCAGTTTCTGAGTGCCTTTTGATGGTGAAGGAAACTGGACTCACTAACACCAGACTTTCTTTGCAATTTCTCTGTAGGAAAGACCTACATTTTTAAGTGTTATGATGGCCTGACTCTCTTCCATTGTTAATTGCCTTTTTCTCTACACTTTGTATCAACACTCTACTTTCTGTAGTACAATATTCTTCAACTGATGCGTGTGGTACCACAGTGTCCAACACATTCTCACTCCCAACTCGTCAAACGTGTGACGCATGGTCAGGCTCCCTCTGCTTCACTACCACAGTGTGTTCTAACACTGCTTTTAAGCAGACAGAGGGTGTTACATGTAATCGAGAAAAGTTGGAACACCTAGAAATTAGTAGAAGCAGCTTTCAGGGTTTGATCAACCTCTATTGCTGCAGAACAACTTTAAATTGCTAACTTATTTTCTGTTCTCTCAAAAGGGTTTTTTTTTGTATACTAATAACTCTGAATTACAAAATATACATTGGTTTTCAGTTTTCCATAACCGTATCTCTCTCCCTCTCTTTTTTTACATCTGGCAGTTCACGACTTACCTTTGTGCCATTTCAAGCTATTCACTGAACTTGAACAACTTGAACTGCAATAAATGACTGGAAAAACTGGGGTGTTTTAAAATCCTTTGAGCAGTAGTGTGTAATATATCTTATTTGAAAGTATAACTAACCACATCTGGTTCTCTATTCATATTTACAATAATAATCGTCAGCTTATTTCATGATAACTTTACATTTATGCAACCTTAGCTTTTATGACAACTCTGTACTATCAGCTAAGCTAACATTAGCTACTAACCTACTGTTAGCTTGTCTGTTAGTGGTATAAGTTGATAATATGTGGCATAAGTTAATAACTACAATAGACATGGTCCTAAATATAACTTAAGGAATAAAAAAAAATCTTTACTTACCTTGCAGTCCTACAGCAGTAGCTATAATGTGGGTTTGATTCCATATGTATTGTTTTAATCCATTGGGTTATCCAAGCATCGACCTACTAGGCAAGCCAAACGGGAGGCAAATGGTGGCTAAAGTTAGCAGTTGTCATCCCACTTCCTTCTTTGTCTTTATCCACAGATAAAATGGAAAGTGCAGACTCCCAGTAGGTAGCAGTCTACCTACTGGCAGCCTGGTCTTTGCAGGATGTTTCTTTTTATTATTTCAAGGTTGTTTCCAGGTAAAAATCACACACTTTTGAAGTTTGCTTTAATAGGTTGTTCATGATAGTTATTAATAGTTAATAAATAGAAACAGACAGTCTTACATTTTGGAGCTATGTTTCCTGCTTATTACACATAAACTACCACAAGTAATCGGGTGGTAATAACTTAGAAATTACCACATTATTACGTTCTTGTTTCTTCCTGTAACCCTGCTATTAGGATAGCTGTATTTCCACATTATTAGCTGGAGTTTTGGGGCCCTTATTATCCAGTTACATAGATTTCAGCTTAACATTACTCAGCTGTAACCACGGTTGCTACCGTGATATTACTTGGCTATTACGTGATTATTACTTTGATAATTGTATAGAATTAACTTGGAAATTATCACGCTCTTGTTTCCCTCTTGCAACCTTGCTATTGCCCCTTTATTATTAACCTGTAATAGAAAATGCTTAATTTTGCATTATCGTAAAACAGAACTATATACCATTCAAAAATTGTGACTGGTTGACTTTTAGAATGTGAAGTCTTTTATTAGTATGTGTGCTCACATATTACACATTAAAGGATGAATATATTTTTTTTCACATTTTAACAACCCAATACTCAGTTATTTTTTGATGCATCTCTTATTACAGATGTGATATTACATATGTAATGTGATATTACAGATTCAATGTGATGGTAAGAAATGCCAGTGAAAATTCCAGGGTTTTCATTCTGTGGATGTTCTTAGTCACCTAGGTCTTCTTTCCAAGCTTGTTAGATTTCCAGGTTTATTGCTTTAATTATTTTTGTAGATATTCATATTTAAACATCACAGCAGATTTCAACGTGTGGAAAACAAGGCATGAATGTCGCTCAACAGACCATCTTTCAAAAAATACATCTTGAAAAGTAATAATAATAATAATAATAATAATGGATTGGATTTATATAGCGCTTTTCAAGGCACCCAAAGCGCTTTACAATGCCACTATTCATTCACTCTCACATTCACACACTGGTGGAGGCAGCTACGATTGTAGCCACAGCTGCCCTGGGGCAGACTGACAGAAGCGAGGCTGCCATATCGCGCCATCGGCCCCTCTGGCCAAGTATTTGATATGTGAAGCTAAAATTTCACAGAATTCATTATAAATGTCCAATTTTTATTCTCTAAAATATTTATGGAAATCAGAAATGGTCAAGCAGAAAATGTTCTTAAAATTTGATGATATTACATAAAATATCACACTTGGTATGCCACACAAATGGTACTTAAGTTACGTAAGTTAATTGATATGCTTCATTTGACATCACTCACCCCTTTTGTGAGAATGTAATGGTACATTTATGAAGTACAGGAGAAATAAGCTGAAATATAGTCAAACTTTTATTTCTTAAACTACATACTACAGACAAAGTCAAAGTAAAATTTATTTATATAGCACATTTAAAAAAACAGCTGTTGACCAAGGTGCTGTACATTTAAGATAATTAAAAGACATAAAAACATAGGAAGACATGATAAAAACAAAGAAAAAGTTGTATAAAATGAGACGAATAAGACAAATAAAAGTAGTATAAAACTCATTCTGATTTCAAAGCCAAGGAATAAAAGTGGGTTTTCAGATGGGTTTTGAAAGTGTCTAATGTTGGGGAGGTCCTGGTGGAAAGGAGCAGTTTGTTCTGCAATTCAGGAGCAGTCACGGCAAAGGGCTGGTCTCCTCTGTACCTTAATCTGGACCTCGGGACAGTTAGAAGCATTTGATCCACAGACCTCAGTGATCTTGCAGGTGTGCACCAGTTTAAAAGACCAGAGAGGTATGAGGGTGCTAACCCGTGCAAAGCCTTAAAAACAAATATAATTTTAAAAATAAATTTGAAAGCTAACTGGCATCCAGTGTAAGGATGCTAGTATGGGGCATATGTGGTCTGTGCTGCAGCATTTTGGACCAGCTGCAGTCGATTAACTAATGACAGACTGACACCAGTGTAAAGACCATTACAAAAGTCTAGGCGAGATGAAATGAAGGCATGGATAGTTCTCTGAGAGTCTTTGAAACAAAGGAAGGGTCTCACTTTTGCAAGTAGCCAAAGATGAAAGAAACTGGTCTTGATTACAGCATTAATCTGCTTAGCAAAAAGTAGATCACTATCAGAAATCACTCTGAGGTTCCTCGCAAAGGTTTTTTAAAATTTATTTCTAGGGGGCCAAATTCATAGAGGTTACAGGGACCAAACACAATGACCTCTGTTTTCTGTTCATTTAGGTTAAACAATCTAACAAACAAACAATCTAACAAAACCTTCAGAGGACTCTCACATTTACCTGACCCTGGAATGTAAATCTGTGAGTTGTCTGCGTAACAATGGAATGAGATGCCATGGTTTTTTTTGTTTTGTTTTTTTAATTGAACCCATAGAGAGCATTAAATTGAAAAAAAGGAGTGGGCAAAGAATGGACCCCTGGGGGACCCCACAAAAAAGTAAGGTTTTTGAGGATGTATCTCCCAATGTAACAGAAAAACTTCAACAACAAAGAAATACAAATGAAAGAAAAGCACAATTGCAATTAATGTCATTGACAGAGAGAATCTTTAGTGGTTAATAATTCCTTGGTGATTTTTAACTAATCAAGGCAATACAAAGGCTTATAGATAATCTATATGTTATTTTCTGGCAATATGCACAAACTGTTTTTCAAGAAGAAAACTTGATAGTAATATGATTTTTTACAAAACAACTAGTTATATTTTGGGACATAAAACATATGTATTCATCCATTCTCATCAGGACCTTGCTGTGAGGCAAGATCAAGTGTAGTATATTAAAACATATGTTACATAGAAATTCTGAAAGCTAATCAAGCAAACTTGGGTTTATCATTACATGACAGTCTTTGTAGGCAACATTTCACACAGGCTACATTAGCTTGTAGATTTTGTAAACAGGTTGTCATCTATATTAACCTTCAATTATTTTAATAATTTAATAGACCTTTTAGCCCAAAACCATATGTACATCCTTTTCTTTTTGCCTGTTGTACTGTTCATTGGTCTTGATTGCTTTTGTGCAAGTTGGGCAGTTTTAGAAATACTTACTGTAGAAGCATACTTTTCTCTTTATAACAATGGAACAATTACACGTTTAAGTATTTTTCTTTAAAGCACTTCTATTGAGTTTAAATTACGTACATTTCAAAGTAATTGCTGGAAAGAATGTTGTCAAACTCTGTGCGGAATTCAGGATAAGAACTGTAAGTGCACGGTATATGAAGGGTAGCGTCACAAGTATGACCAACAGGCCTTCTTCTGAGCCCAGTTTCAGCATTAAAGGACACAAGAATTTTGTCAACACAAATGACAGAAGACCCAGTGCAGAAACGCAGGATTTTTTCAGCTTTAGTTTCATCAGCAGTTTTGACATAATGCTGAAGATACTTAAAGGTGATACGTTCTCTTTGAGACAGCACCATGTTTGTTGTTTCAAACAGTTGCAATACTCTTTTGCCTGTGGCCTTCTTTGTCTCATACAGAGACAAAACCCTTTCCTTGTCTGACAGTTTCTGTTGTAGACCTGCCATAGGTGTGGAGAAGCAATCAACTATGTACTTTGGCTCTTGCAGAATGGCCTTATGAGCCATTCTTTCAATGGCAAGTTGCATGTTGTTCTTAGGAGGTAGAGAGTTTGAGCCCATCCTTGTGAAAAGGTCAAGCAGGTCCTCTTCATCACTTTCACCCATTGTGCCCTGGAGAGCATTTTCAACTGCTGATCTCTCAACAGGAGCGACATAGTTGAGAAACGATGTCATCAGAATGTCTATACTGACTGAGTCAATTCCATGAATGCAGGCTAAAATGAAAGCCTTTGATAGCCTCACTGGAAAGACACCATGGTCTAGAAATCCTTTCACCCAAATTTGACCAACCGCTTGCCATTCAGCCTCACAAAAGTCAGGCCTCAGCCTTGGAACTCGCTCTGTTTCACCTTCACACTGTTCCACAAATTGCTCCCAAAATGCAGTGTAAACCTCCCTTGACACACCAGCATCATCGATACCTCTTTCATTGACAAAGTCCATCTTTAAAGTCACAGTCATAATGCTTTTGTCCTTAAATACAACCAAAAGATCTTCAACAACCTTTATCCTACGAATTAATACAGTTCGAGGGCTTTCTGGACTTCCTGAGTTGCCAGTTGAACTTGATGGAAAACGTTGCTTGCTGGACCTTAAAGGCAGACTTTTTGCGATGGAATTCAGTCCATTGTCCTGAACACAAGACAAAACATACAAATGGCATAAAAAACACAAATTAATTACACAGATAACAAGAGAAGTGAGAACACACAAGGGACACAGCTGACACAAATTAACATGACGCCACAGGGGAAGCACAACTAGATACATCGAACAAGGAAACAAGACCTTTACAATAAAACAGGAAACAGAGAGACATGACTGCCCCGAAGCTGTTTACATAAAGTTGGGCACATTAAATTGTCCAAAATGTCTTGGAATGCTAAAGCATTAAAAGTTCTTTTCACTATGACTAAGTGGACAATTGAATGTGGACTCTTTAGTAGTAAAGAAATTTCAGGGCCTTTTTGCCCTATCATGATACCAAGCTGAAACTGACTGAGGTCCTAAGAGTGAGAAATTATTTTACAAATTATAAACTATCACACAGATGCACAAACTGCAATGTCTTTACAGTATGTAAAAGGATTTCAGAGTTGCCTACAGTGATAAATCTTACCTGTGGAATTTGGGCTGCTCCCTCATGTATGACCTGCATATTTGACATGGCCAGGCTGCGCATCTCCTTGACCATTTCAGCAGCAGCATCTGGGAGACGAATTAGAAATTAGGTATGCAAACATTTCATGTACACACTACGAAAACCAGTTAAGTATTTTTTTTTAAAAACAGTTTGTCCTTACCTTTACTTTTTCTGTAAAAAAGAAGATATGCACTCTGGGATCTAATGGAAAAAAGCATTTAATTCATTTTCAAATAAATTTAAATGTATGGCTTACATAACAGCATTTTTGTAAACCCAATTTTTGCACTTTGTTTTATGTGTCTTCATTTTCCCTGTGAAGTGCATTGAGTTTCAATTATCATTGTCAGGGTTTTGCAAACCAGCTTATTTCTACATCTACTCCAATATTTGGATGCTAATTTTGCACCATTTACTCTCTTCCAGTCATTTAAGAATCTCAATTACTTATAATTTGCAGAATTTTTACAAATTTTAAAATAAATTTTGTAATTCAATATTATTATTGATAAAGCTACACAGAAAATGGACATTCTGCATAATGGGTATTTCAGTATATTTTAAATATAATTTGATACCACCTTTTACTTTTTACAAAACGCTTGTTTTGCCATTAATTCTCCATTCTCTTTCGCTTATCCTTATCAGACTTGTGGGGGTCTCGAGCCTATCCAATCTACCACAGACAAGAGGCAGGGTACATCCTGTCTATTGCAGTGCTCTTGTTTTGCTACTTTACAAAATTATTTAATATAAAACAATTTTCACAAACGATTCAGGCACCAAAAGAAAGATAGCTGTACATGCCTTCAGTGCTTATTCCCTGCATTGTATACATATTGTATGTATGTATGTATTCATACCAACTTTCAAGTAATATTTGAACTACAATGGAAAAATAAATGGAAAAATATATACAGTCAGGGAAACAAGCACAAAAACTTACCTCTCAGTGTTATTCAGCTGGAATGGCTGATAGACAAGCTGATGATGGAAAAAATAATCAAGCATAACATGATGGATCTGTCTTGCCACTGTAAGGCATACAAGTAATTGTGCAACACAGTGATTTAGGAGCATGTTTTAGTATCAACAGTGAAAAAGTTATCAGTCTTACCTCTGTGACTCTGGTATCTTGAAAATGATGCCATCTGTTTCCGTGTTCCTCCTGGATCTTGATTGTTGCGGTGTAATGTCCACCTTTCAGATCCCCAAAATGATCCACAACTGCATACAGTTCATATTTCTGATTCTGATCCCCAAAGAAAAAATGACAGCCATCAGAATGAGCAAAGACAATGAAAATGATATTGATTAAATATTAAAATATACTATATATGTACCTCTGGTATCTGCAGGGTTTCAGGAACATCCACATAAGAGTTGATGTATGATATGTAATTATAGTTGAACTCAAACCTCTTCAGCAGCAGACACAAAACATCTGGATGATCCTTTATTACAGCTGTCTGAATGAAAAACATTCAATTCAATTATATTATATTTTATATTCATAAAGCACCAAATCACAACAACAGTTGCCTCAGGGAGCTTGTCTGTTCCCAATACATGTTAATATGTTTGAGTAATTGTATTCAATGAATCATAAAACAATCAAAAACTTTTCTTTAAACTCACCATAGTAGCATCAACTTTGTCACCACACTGCTCACAGTAAATCTGATTTTCTCCGCAGAAATCTGAAGTTTTAAAGAACTCTTCAATGCCCTTCACCTGAAAAATGTTATTTAAAATCAGCTCTGACAAAGATGTGCTGACCAGTGAAATGAGGTGAAGAATTTTTCTTGAAGAAGAAGGTTTTTAACATGACACATTAACTTTATTAGGTCAGACTCAAAGGTTAAGATGTATTGTTTAAGAGAAAAGTGAAAAGAAAAAATCTAACCAGTACACATATAGGCAAAACTAGATAAATTGTGTATTTTTAAATTAAATAAAGCAGTCCTAAATCAATCATTTAGACACCCCAAAAGTTATTTTATAGGTTTTAGGTTTTATAATGAAGTCTGTACTTAGGCCATGGTACTTAACATGGTTCAACAACTATTTCATTTTTATAGCACTGTAGCTACAGGAATTATCATGTCAGTACTCCTCCACAAAGAAATCGTTTGATTTATGCAATAATGATGTGTAAATGATGTATACTAAAATAGTAACAAAGTGATAAAGTGTAACACAATTTACGCAGTGAAAAAAATGAGTGTTGTGCTTTTTATAGAAAGTGGATAAAATGAAAGTAAAACAGTTATTATTTACTGAAAATCGGAAAATATTATATATCTGTAATTGACAAAAGCATGTAAGGTCAAAACAATTTCTCACAGCTGTCATGTCCTGACAGACAGAACATGCTGACAAGTTTGCATCTTGTCAGATCCTTACCACACTGCAGGAATCCACCAGTGAAAGCTGAAGATACCAAAATGGTGCATCTCTGTCAGTCTGTATATGACCTTTAGAGCAGGTGGTTTTGTTTACTAACTGACCGTGGAAGATCTGAAAATACAGATGCACAAAAATCTGTTCATTTTCTTTCAGTTATAATTAGATAGCATTTGTTCACAACAAAAGTTGTTCAAAGCATTTTATACTCTAAGGCAAAGACTCCACAATTAAAAAGGGATATTTTGATCCAGTGTATAGATATAGATATCCTTTGGCATCGATGAAGACCTTACCTTTGATGCATCAGTGCTGGTCATTCTTAAAACCCTCTCAAAGTACTCTGCAGCATTACGCTGTTCATTCACTGTGACAAATGCATATTATTATTATTTTTTAAAAGAAGTCATTTTGTAATTTTACCCTACAATTTTCCATTTTTATAATATTTTAATAATTATTTTAAATTATGTATTATTTTAAATTATTTTAAAGTTATACAGTGCTCAGGAGTTTACAGTGTTAAAAAGGTTTTGTTGTTCTGTACCGTTGTCGATGCCCAGCTTGTTTGTTATTTTAAATGTGTATGCTGTATAGTTCTGCAAGTCATCAAATAAGACTTTCAAATCATGATCAAGGAATTCAGAGTGGGGATTTTCTCCAGAGTACCTACACAGGAAGTAAACATGAGTGATTAACAAATGCACCGTAAACTTCATATATGATAAATACAGAATCACACTTAAAGCTGGACAACAAACTTTTTCACAGCCTCTCTGAAGTCTTTGGTCATGAACAGCACCTGCAGCACACTGTTCAAGTAACATGTGGATCCTTGGTTTATCAGCCCATGGTACGTATTAGCTGATGGGAAGAGAGAATTCATACAAAGAAGATATATATTTAAAACATGAGCCTGGATCATAAAATACCCAAAGAGAAATAAACCAAAAACAGTTATTTTATAATTTCTACATTAGGAGTTTAACTGGGTATTTTTTTCAATGTTGATATTACTCTAAAACATCTCATTTGCCAATTCCAGTCAAATTCAGTCATTTGATTTGGTTGGCTGATTGGGAAAAGCACATACCAATTTATATAATGTCCCAAAATTTACAGTGCGAGGAAAAAGAGAGCTAATAAGTCCAAAGACTACCTGTAAACCTCCAAATTATATTACATTGAACCAAAGATCGGGGGCATCTAAGCTTGGAGCATTGCCAGGAGTATAGTGGCCTCAGTAACTGGTAAACTACAACAGTTTGGAACAAGCAAAACTCTCTTTAGACTCCAGTGTCTGTCCACAGGGGCGGTCCTAGCCTGTTTGGTGCCATGGGTGAACATTCCCTCTGGCATGCTGGGGTAGCAGGTTGAGGGTCACAGACACTAACAGACAAAATAAACGGATCCACAAGACCAGTAATGTTGTGGGGATGGAGCTGGACTCAGTTAGGGTGTCTGAGAGCCAGATGTTGTCCAGGATAAGGACAATGTTGGATAATACCTCCCACCCACTCATGCTGGCTAGTCACAATCCTGGGTTGTGCGAAATCCCAGAAATACACCCTCGACAAAGCGAATCTGTGAACTAAGGTGTAGGTCTATTAGGTCATGTTGTGGTGATGGTTGAGTTGGGGGACTTATGTTCATACTGAAGTGCAAAATTAAAACCAATGGAAGATGAACAAGAAAAGTTCAAAGTCATCAGGTGTTCAGTTTAGAAAAAACAGAAAAAAAGAGGAGAAGAAACAAGCAAAAGATACGGGTAAGCAGATGTGTCATTGGATAATGGCAGGTCATCCTGAAACAATCAGAATCAGAATACTTAAATATTAATCCCTAAGGAAATAACGTGGATTACAGTTGCTCCAAGAAGAAATGGTAAAAATAGTAACAGACTAAACTGTAAATTATGAATTTTAAATTGTTATTGATCCCTTTACCCCTGGTCCTAAAGTGTATATTTATTTTCTTAATCTTCTTATAAATATTGTTTGTTTACTTGCACTGCTGTAACTGGAGCCTCGTCGTCTCGTCTCTCTATATACTGGACTGTATGTAGCGGAGATGACAATAAAGTTTACTTTGACTTCAGCAGCGAGCAGGCGCACCGAGGGCTCTCGCGCTCACTTTTCGCGTATAGAATTTCGAAAAAACGAAAAAAAGTCTGTATCATAATTTCTGGTGTTTTCGTGTTTGTTGGTTTGTTTTTATTTTATTTTGCGAGTTGGTTATTAGATGCTGCTCCAGCCAGACAGAGAATCCCCCGCAGCCCACCCTCTCCTCCCTGTGCCGCAAGCAGCAGGCGCAAACGAGGGCGCCCTTACTCCCAGCAAATGGGCGATAGAAAACCGATCGGTGCCTATGCCATCCCCAAAATGCGCTGGCTGATGTTGGGGCAGCATGAGTACGAGCAACTGTTTTGTTTTTGTTTTTTTGCCGATGCTCGTGAAGCCGCCCCCCACCAAGATGCCGCCCTGGGCAACCGCCCATATCACCCCTATCAAAAACAGCTACTCTGCCCAAACTAAATAATCAACCTATAGTGCAGGAAATTGGCTAGAAAAAGAATCTGAACATAACCTCAGATCCCGAGAGAGATTTGTAATTCAGCAATTTTCTATCTATTAAACATTTATGATGATAAGGATGTTGATGAAAGCTAAATGAAAAAAGGCAAAAAGGAAACATCGAAATTCGTGTACGCTGGATAAATATCCATCTCCAACAATACGCCTGAGGATGAAAACAAAAAACAAACAAACAAAAGAGCTTTAAATATTTTCTGAAATCTTACCCAGAGATGTATTGGTGCACTGTCCGTTCATTTTCTGTGCCATCCTGCAACCACTTTACTTCTGCACCGCTGAATAAACTGCTCCTTAAAAAGAAATAAGCCGCATATTTTACCGGTTACGCTAAGCAACCACTAAACAACAACACATAGAATCCTACCTTCCGTTTAATTCAAGGCATTCCTTCCGAACTACTTAGTTTATTCCCGACACAATCTGCGATCTACAGATCCAATGAATTTAAAAGCCCCGGATTACTTTCTCTTTCTCTTCGGGTCTGCAATGTTGCTTACGTGTTTGAAATCTCGAAATTATCGAATTACTATTTTTTTTCAGAAACTTATTAAAAATGTGAATGCAGAACACCTAATATCTCCTTACTCACAAACACATGTGGATTAACCCAGAGCCTAACATGCACTCCTTCGGCAAATTAGGTTTGGGAATATATTTTTCAGTTGGGATGTATTGGAAATTCACATAAGATCATGAAGGCAGCATATGAAGTAATTGAACGAAGCAGCGCGAAAAATATCCTACGAATTTCATTTTTGCACAATACACAGCTTATAATTTGACTGCATGCTTCAGTTCAGCCATTCGATTAATGTTACAGCAGCTCATGAGTGAACGAACATGGTGCAATAAAAGTAGTTTTAGAAGTACATTATTTCCCAAACACTTATATTTTATTACATTTATTTCAATTTATTTGAGTTGGGTTAGGAGTTGCCACCTCAGGATGTAGTCTTGCTAATGACCCACTAATTTTATTGAGGTGTGTTGCAGTAGGGACACATTTAAAGAGTAAATAAAGTGAAATACAGATGCAAGAAGACAGACCAGCGTTGTCATGTGACTTCTGGTAACTGCTGGGGGAAACTGAAAGTTAAAAACAAATTCATTTGACTGCAGACACAGATTGTTTATCCACGGAGAGGACGGAGAGTTTCTGAGCTAAAATGACCGACGAGAAAAGATACGACCCCAGAGACACGACGCTGAGATTCGTCAACAGGCCCGATGATCTGGATCCACTACGTAAGAAATACAACTAGTTATCATCACTGAAGCCTCTTAATTCTGCTCTTTCTAATAACTGTGCGTGATTTGATTTGGAATTATTATAATAAATTCACTGGTTATCCCAATTAAACCAAATGAAGTAGTATTTTATACAAACATTTTACTTCTGTGCTAAATTTCCGGGGTCGGAGCCTTTGAGCAAAGTAGGTTCTCGGGCAAGCTGCAGCACAATGTTGAGTTCACTGTCTGCGCATATTGTCGTTCCTCTCAGCTCCAGTGGAAGGAGACCAGGGTCTCAGAGCAGAGATGTCCTGCGGCCATGCCGTCACCCCGGAGTCGCTCACTGGGTGGTGTCGCAGCCTGTTGGATCAGGTACTTTCCAGGTTCCAAATAACGTCATTGTTTTCATATAGTTTTACTTTTAGTTTTCTTGTCTAAGCTTGCGTAGGAAAATTAATATCTACATTTCTGCAAGGTTTTGGTTTATGTCTGTATCCAGACATCCAAAATTTATATTTAAATGTTGCTGATGGATTTATAATATTAAATAGGCAAATACAATGGCAATTTGACAAGATAGATCATCGTATCTTTTAGAAAGTTGTCACTCAAATGTGAAGACACTACACTAACCCTACACCACAGACACCACACATACAGACTGGGAGGTCTCCTTTAAAGGATTTACATCTTTCTTCTCACTTTGAACCTCAGTAGTTCATGGTGAACATGTCTAAATGCACTGACCTGCTATTACTGCATTTAATGGCTTAGATATTTATGTTATTATTCAATGTTACTATTGATTTTGTATGGTGAATAAACACATGAACAAAAGGATTTTCTGTTACATAAAAAGGTATTTAAGAAAAAACTCTCAGTTTATACCATGTAACCAACACAAAAAGTGAGAAAGGTGTTCATAAATGGGGAAATTAAATAACTCATTAAAACACACACACACACACACACACACACACACATATATATATATATATATATATATATATATATATATATGCATTTATTTATTTTTAATTGTACATTGTATTGTATTTTATGGACATTTTTAGCCATGGTGACCAAAATCATAATTGTTAAGTGTAAGTAGTCAACACATAAATGGAAACATTAAATTAATCTTGATGCTGTGCCAGTGTTTAGAACTTGTTTCTATCAAAAACATCAATTAGATGTCTTTACATCTTTAACATCTTTTTCAGGGCCAGTACAAATTTAAGTGCCCAGCTCTAAAGAATGGTACGCTACAGAAGTGTGATGCAGCGTGGTCCTACCAAGAGGTGCGCAGGCTGGCAGTACTGACAACAGAAGAGATGGAGTACTTTGAAGAGAACATCGCTCGCCTAGCTGCCACAGAGTACTGTGAATTTAAAACTGTAAGTGTCCAAGTTAACCTCATTTAGTTAAGAGTTTAGTAGAGAATGATTGCTCCTACAAAACAAAAGGCTATTTTGGGGATAATTTTCTTTGTTCCCTGATTTATATCAACAGCAGGATCAACACACTGAGCTGTAAATTTAATAAATGATCTCAATCAAAACCGCCTGCGCTGTCATGAAGAAAAAAAAATAGACGGAAATTTTCAACTCTCACTCCCGTTCTCCAGCCATAATTTGGCTGACAACTTGATAAATGACTTTTTTGTTAGAAAGAAAAACATTTTTAGTGTTTTGTTTATTTAAACATTTATTTTGATAAGTAAAAATAAAACCTGAAAAAAAATATTTGAGGCAATCAGGATAGGCCCAATGTTGAAGTGAGCAGGTCCTGGCCCCTTAGGCCCACTCACAGTATTCAAACTGTGCTTAAAAAAGGTAACATTTTCACATGATAAGTGTTTCAGAAATTATCGATAAAAGTATTTTAGTTAAAGGTGGTATAAATGTAGTCATTAAGCTTTGGTCAAAGCAGTGCCAGCAATTCCCCACTGCTCTTAGTCATCATGATAAAAACAAACTAACTTGGTAAGTTTACTGCACTGATGTGAGGATAATGTCAATCTGATCAGTTTCAGTCATGTGACTCTAAATAAAGAAAGTTTATATCCAAAAACAATGAAATTCTTGAATGTTTGTCATAACAGTGTCCTGGTTGCAAAACCTATGTGGAGAGAGAGGACCTGACCAACCTTAATGTTCAGTGCACAATCTGCACTGCAGACAAGAACAAAGTGTCCCAGTTCTGCTGGCAGTGTTTGAAGCCATGGAAAGGCAGCGCTCCACGCTCTGACCGCTGTGACAACGATGGATGCATCAATCACGACCTTGAACTTCTCAAGAACTGCAAGACTACCGCTCTCCCTCAGGTTGAGGGGGTTGATGCCTGTCCCTCCATCCGGGCCTGTCCCACCTGTGGTCAGAGGGTGGAGCACGACAAAACAGGCTGCAAGAACATCATCTGTCCTCGCTGTCAGAAAGAGTTCTGCTTTGTGTGTCTGAAACTCACTCCTGAGTGCTTGAAGACAAGTTCTTACTTCATCCCCTGCAGTGATGGTGTAGCTCCCAGACAAACTTCAATACCTGTGTGGCGCAGAAACTAAGACACAGCATGCTCTCTGAGTCATATCCTTCTCTCATGTTAGACTTTTTCTTTTATATTTCATTCAGAGAATTTCATTGAGAGAAGCCAAATGTTTTACAGCCTGACTTGCTCATATGCTTTAAATAGTGGTAAACTATGTTTCCTGTATGCATTTTTATGTTGTACAACAGACTTTTTAAAAAATAGTTTTCTTTGACTTAATCTCTGTTAAATAATAGTTAGTCATCAACAAACAAGTCAC